ATAACTATGAAACACACTGGAGAGAGTATCTAACCATCACTTTCATGTCACACCTGAGAGAACTCAGAGCTAATGAAGGTTAAATAGCTTTTGAAAGTGCTAGAGCTATACAGGGCAGAACCAAAGGTACAACCCAATTCTGCAAAATCCCAAAATCCAACAAACAATATGCTGTCTATAAGACACCTATCTGAGATCCAAAGACACAAAGAGATTGAAGAGTAAATTAAGAGAAAGAAGATATTCCATGCAAAAACAGTAGCCAAAAGAGAGCTGGAGTGGTATATTAATACCAAATAGAATAGACTTACAGGCAAAAAAAGATAAAAGAGAAAAAGGAAAGATGTTATATAATGATAAAAGGGCCAATTCATGAGCAAGATCAACAATTATAAATATGTATACAACTAACAAAATATACAAAGCAAAACCAGACAGAACTGAAGGAAGAAATACAGATAGTTCAATAACAACAGTTGGAAATTTCAAGACATCACTTTCAATGAAGACCAACTAGAAAAATGATAAAACAGACACCTTGAACAACACTATAAACCAGCCAGGCCAAACATACACAGATAATGCCATTCAACAACAGCAGAATGCAAAAGGAATACCCACTAGGTCAATATATTATGCAACAAAAAAAAAGTCTCAATAAATTTTAAAATATTGAAACCACACAAATTATCTTTTCTGAATACAATGGAATGAAATTAGAAATTGATAATGGAAGAAAATATTAAAAAAATTCACTAATTTGGTGTATAAACAACACACTCTTTAAACAACCCCTGGGTTAAAGAAGAAACCAAAAGGGAGATTACAAAATACTTTGAGAAGAATGAAAACAAAAATATGTCTAAACCTACAGAATGCAGTAAAAGGAGCACTGAGAGGGAAATTTATACAGCTATAGAAGTCAATATTAATAAAGAAAAAATATCCCATCAATATCCCATCTTCCAAAGCAAGGAAATATTAAGAAGTGGAGCAAACTTTGGGGCACCTGGGTGGCTCAACTGGTTGAGCATCTAACTCTTGATTTCAGATCAGGTCATGATCTCAGGGTCATGCAATCATGCCCCATGGTGGGCTCCATGCTCAGCATGGAGTCTACCTGAGATTCTTTCCTTCTCCTTGCCCTACCTCCGGCCCCTCCCTCCCTCTCTCAAATAAGTAAATCTTAAAAAAAAAAAAACAAAAAAAACCAAAAAAAAACAAAAAACAGATTTAACCAAGTAGAATGAAAGAATAAAGATTAATTACAGTGGTGATAACATAGAGAACAGAAAAACAACAGAAAGAATCACTGAAATCAAAAGCTGGTAAATTTGATGTCTTTAAGACTGATGAAGGGGGGATAAAAGGACCAAATTACTAAAATCAGGAATGAAAATGGGGACATTACTACCAACCTAATAGAAATAAAAAGGAATGTAAAAAGACATTATAAACTTTGTTCAAAAATTTTATTTATTTATTTATTTGACAGAGAGATAGCACAAGTAGGCAGAACAGCAGGCACAGGGAGACAGAGAAGCAGGCTCTCCGATGAGCAGGGAGCACAATGTGGGGTTGGATCCCAGGACCCTGGGATCATGACCTGAGCCAAAGGCAGACGCTTAACCAACCGAGCCACCCAGGCAACCCCCATTATAAACTTTTAAAAAAATAGCTTTACTTAGATATAATTCACATACCACACAATCAACTCATTAAAAGAGTACAACTGAATGAGTTTTAGTATATTCCAAGATATGTGCAATCATTATCACAGTAAATTTAAAATCTTTCTATTACCTCAAATAGAAACCCCATACCGGTTAGCTATCATTCCCCTTTGCCTGTTCCTCCTAGCCCTAAGCAAACATTAATCTACTTTCTGTCGCTATAAATCTGCCTGTTCATGATATTCCATATAGTTGGAATTAAATAATGTATTGTTTCTTCTCACCTTTTTTCCCCCCACCTATCACGTTTTCAACGATGATCCATGAGGTCACATATGTCAGTACTTCATTCCATTTTATGGTTGAGTAATACTCCACTGCAAAACCACATTCTGTTTATCCATTCATCAGCTGATAGACATTTGAGTTGTTTCCACTTTTGGTTGTTATGATTTCGGTGTGTGTATGTGTGTGTGTGTGGGGGGGCAACAAATGAGACAATGTATATGAAATAGACAAATTTCTACAAAGAGGCACACTACCAAAATAGAAAACCTAAAAAGACTAAGTAGAAAACCTAAAAACCTAAATAGGAAACCAAAACAGACTAAATAAACCTAAATAGGAAACAAGTAAACAGAGTAAATCAGTTCCTAGAAAACATTAAAGAAAAAAAATCAGGACTTAATGGCTTCCTACATTAATTCCAACAAACATTTAAAGAAGAATGAGCATCAGTAATTCTCAAAACTCTTCAAAAAAAATGAAGAACAATTCTTAACTCATTCTTAGAGTTAAGTACTACCCTGATATCAAACCAGATAGAGTTACCACAAAAAATGAAAAATACTAAACAAATGCCCCTTATGAATACAGATGCAAAAATCTTCAACAAAATACTAGAAGTGAACTAAATCCGAGAAGAGTATTACGTGGAACGAATGATCGATCAAGTGGGATGTATCCTGGAACTGCAAAAGTGGTTCAACAGGCAAGAATCAATTAATACAACATATTTAAAGAAAAAAGTAAAAACAACACATGGTCATCTTAATTGATATAGAAAAAGCAGCTGGTGAACTCCAACATGTTTTCCGGATAAAAATATTCAACAAATTATGCATAGAGGGTATTTCCCTAAACTCGATAAAAGGAATCTAGGAAAATCCAATAGCTAACATCATACTTAATAATGAAATGCTTTGGGCGCCTGGGTGGCTCAGTTGGTTAAGCGACTGCCTTCAGCTCAGGTCATGATCCTGGAGTCCTGGGATCGAGTCCTGCATCAGGCTCCCAGCTCCACCGGGAGTCTGCTTCTCCCTCTGACCTTCTCCTCGCTCATGCTCTCTCTCACTCTCTCTCTCTCTCAAATAAATAAATAAAATATTTTTAAAAAAATAATGAAATGCTTTCCCCTTAAGATTAGGAAAATAATTTCACTTATAAAAGCATTCAGAAGAATAAAATACAAAGGAATAAATTTAACTAAGGAAATGTAAAACAGGTGCCAAGAACACAACAGGCAAGACTAAAAACTTCAAAACAGTGGTTAAATTAAAGAAGATCCATAAGTGACTCTTAATCTCACAAAACAAACTGAGGGTTGATGGGGGGAGGGGCGTTGGGAGGGGCGTTGGGAGGGGGGGTGGGGTTATGGACATTGGGGAGGGTATGTGCTATAGTGAGTGCTGTGAAGTGTGTAAACCTGGCGATTCACAGACCTGTACCCCTGGGGATAAAAATATATGTTTATAAAAAATAAAATAAAAAAAAATTACAATTTAAAAGAAGATCTAAGTAAATGGAAAACATCCTACGTTCAAGGAATAGAAGACTCTGTATTGCTGAGATGGCAATACTTGCCAAATTGAATCCAAATGAAAACCACTTCACAAACATTCCAGTTGTGTATCCTTTAAAAGCGGGGGTGGGGGGGACAAGTGTAGGTGAGGACATGGAGAAGTCAGAACATTCATATGTCGCTGGTGAAAACATAAAATGGTACAACCACTACAGAAAACAGCTGGCTAGTCTCTCAAAAAGCTAAACATAAAATTACCATTTGATCCAGTAATCCTACTCCTAGGTACCGATAATCAAAAAAAACCTACATTCACAAAACATCCTGTACCTCAATGTTCATAGCAGCATTATCCAAAATAGTGAAAAAATGGAAACGATACAAATATATGTGAACTGATGAATGGATAAGTAAAATGTGGTGTATCCACTGAAAGAATATTACTCAGCACAGAAAGGAATGAAGTAGTGATCTTTTACAAATGGATGAACTTTGAAAACCTTATGCTAAGTGAAAGAAGTCAACACAAAAGCCCGCACACTGTATGATCCTATTTACAGGAAATGTATAAAATAGGCAAACCCATAGAGACAGAAAGCAGATTAGTGGTTACCAGGGCCAAGGAGAGAAGAAATGGGAAACACCTGCTTAACCGGTATGGAATTATCTTTCGGGGTGACCAAAGTGTTCTGGAGTTAGATACTGGGATGGATGCACAACACTGTGAATGTACTAGAAGCTACTAGACTGTATACCTGTAAGTGATTAAAACAGAGAATTTTATATGAATTTTACCTCAACTGAAAACAAAAACCAACAAATTTAAACCTAGCCAGCAACATAAAAATTAAAATAATCACAAAGTCCTTTCAGAATTCTTATGTTCACATGCTCAAAACCTAGATCTAAAAACAGGCATCACAGGGCACCTGGCTGGCTCAGTCGGTGGAACTTGTGACTCTTGATCTCAGGGTCTTGATTTTGAGCCCCAGCTGGGTGGTGTAGAGATTACTTAACTAAAAAAATAAATATTAAAACCTGGTATCACTGGGGCACATGGGTGGCTCAGTGGGTTAAGCCTCTGCCTTCAGCTGACGTCATGATCTCAAGGTCCTGGAATCGAGCCCCACATCAGGCTCTCTGCTCAGTGGGGAACTTGCTTCCCCTTCTTTCTCTGCCTGCCTCTTTGCCTACTTGTGATCTCTGTCTGTCAAATAAATAAATAAAATCTTAAAAAAAAACAAAAAAACAACCTGGCATCAGATACTTCACAGCTGTGATGTTATTAACAGCGCTCAGACAACCTTTAAATTCCATCACCATAAAAGGAAGGGATAAGAGAAAAAAATCATATACTAATCTTAAGTGACAAGTTGATACTAATCATTATTCTCAACCTAATAGAAATAAAAAAGTATATAAACAGACGTTATAAAAATATAAGCAAACAAACCCAATTGTTTAAACAAGCTGATAGGAAAATACGACGTCTATTAGTCCTGTCCTTGGGGACAGCCATAACTCACCAAGCTTCTCTGGCTCGTCAGGTCCCGTGCCTGCAATGCAGCTGCTCTCCAGGCCATAGGTGGGATCCACTTTCCCAGAGGCTCGTGCTGCTTCTTGTACTTTCTTGACATGAGCTTCGACCAATTCTAGTGGTACCTCCTCTCGGACCCGAGAAAACTCCTCTGTTCAAGAAAACAAATGGAACAGTGTGACTTGGTTTTGCACAAATATTTGCTTTAATGTAAACCACTAGGAAATCCAATACATTAGGTAGGGTCTCACACGCAGTGACCTTTCTAGGGACTCAGTCTTAATCTATCCTAGTGAAACAAGAACACCAGATGAGATGGTCATGTAGACTGATGGAATTCTATGATTCTGTGTTTTAACTTACATGTCACAGTATCTTGCTGTATAAATAGAGATTTCCAAATTTTCATCAGTAACAATCAGAATTTCTGCCAAACTTAATCTAACGCTACAGGCTGGATTGTAAGGCAAACAGCAAGTATTAAATAACCAAAAATCCAAGAAAGGGATTTATAAGCATGAGAAAGTTCTAATTATAATAAAATCGAACAATGTTAAAAGGTTCTTTGGCTGGTTATGTCAAAGTCCAAGTAAATTAAAAAACTCTGTTTTGCCCTCTGATTCTTTTTTTTTCCTTTTAAAAAAAAATTTTTTTTTAAAGATTTTATTTATTTACTTGAAAGACAGAGACCACAAGTAGGCAGAGAGGCAGGCAGAGAGAGAGGAGGAAGCAGGCTCCCTGTGGAGCAGAGAGCCCGATGTGGGGCTCGATCCCAGGATCCTGAGATCATGACCTGAGCAGAAGGCAGAGGCACTAACCCACTGAGCCACCCAGGCGGCCCCGGCCCCTCCAATTCTTAATAAATGCTCTTAATTTTAGAACTATTAATATATTAGGGGCACCTGAGTGGCTTAACAGGTTGGGCATCTGCCTTTGGCTTACGTCACGATCTCAGACCCAAGCCCTGGGTCAGGATCCCAGCTCAACGGGGAGTCTGCTTCTCCTTCTCCCTCTCCCTCTCCCCCCAACCACCCATCTTGTCCATGCGCTCTCTCTCAAATAAATCTTTAAAAATAAATAAATAAATAAATAAATAAAATTGCAATACTTAATTTTAAATATAACATCAAGGGGTAATGTCTGATTTTCTATTGTATAACTGAAATGAACATTGCAGCTGATAACACTTAAATCTAGGACAACATGTATACAAAGTAAAGTACTAAACCATGATCTGAAACGACTATGTTGGCGATGTGGTTCAGGGAAGTCCATACCCAAAGCTGCTTTTGCTGCGGCAGATGCCACACGAGGGTCCACCACAGATGCCAAAAAAGCAACAGTGCTCATGACTGGGTTTCCTGACTGACTGAAAGGGACAGGCTGGTAAGCCAGGGGCCCCAGGGAAGCATCCGAATTCTCAAGGTAAGGGTCCTCAATAGGAAGCCTCAGAAAGTGGAGGATGCATTCATCCTGAGTACGACTTCCAACGTGCTCTGACACTTTGTTCCAATCATCCTTGTACATCTCCAGAGCCTGCAACAGAAAAACGTAAGGAGCTTTAGTGTCAGGTAAAAAGAAACTAATATGTGACAGTATCAGAGGCCTGTGACTGTTCTTTAGATGGGTTTTTAAAAAAATAATGAAAATGATTACACAGTACATAAGAGAACAGGTAGATCTGATGGCTCTCCTAATTATATTAAATCTCAATCAGGAAAAAAAAATGCACACATACATAAAAGGAAGAGTAAACATCTTTCATTAATACACACTATTGTTTATAAAGAAAATCCAAAGAAATCTATTAAAAAATACCAAAACTAAAAGGTTTAACAAAGTCACAAGACAGATGTGGAATAGAAAAACTCAATTTTATTTCAATGAAAAGTTTTAAATTGGAAAAGAAGTATTTAAAGTATCACAAAAATGAAACACCTAGGAGTAAGTATAATAAAGAATGTGTAAGATCAACATGCTGGAAAACATGAAATACACTGAGAGAAATTAAAGACCTAAATAAAGAGCTAAATAAAGAGCTATACCATGTTCCTCCATTAGCAGTCTCAAAATTAAGATGTCAACTCTCTCTAAACTGAGTAACAGGTTCAACAAAATCCCACGCAAACTCAAAGTCTTTTGTTAGAAATTAAGAAACTGGAATTAAAATTTATAAAGTGTGTAAATTTCCAATTTAAAAATTCATAATTTGTCCGAGAAAAATGTTGAAAACTCCCGCCCCCAAAAAGTAAAAACAATCTCCAAGGGGGAGAGGGACAGAATGTTATGAAGAAAATCAAAGAATTAATTGGATAAAAAGATTGTATTTGGTTGTTGATCAAAATTGCTATTCCTAGATTGTTCTCAACCGGGGGCAATTCTGCCTCCTTGGGGACATTCAGTGATGCCTGCAGACATTTCTGGGGATGTGCTACTGGCATCGAGTGGGAAGAGGCCACGGATGCTGGTAAACACTGTACAGTTCACATAAGAGCCCCCACCACAAAAAAAAACAAACAAAAAAAAACCAAACAAAAACCCTATCTAGCCCAAATGTGGATTGCAGGAGGCTGAAAAATCCTGCTCTAGAGCCTGATTCACTGATCTATACTGCAAGATGAGCTTCGGAGATGGTACTTTCCGTGTTTATGTAAGTAAATTCCTAACCCAGGGCTCCAACCGCTGCCCCAGGCTTGCCTTCTTGCTGGAGTGGTAGAGGACTCCTCAAAACCCACACTAGCGAATGGTCTTACTCCTTAGATCCCTTGAAAGACAAGGCTAATTCTGGGTTTCCCCTGGATAGCCAATGACCTCAGGTAGTTCTAGAAGGAATCACTTGGGAAAGAAAAAAAAAAAAGACCTAGATTGTAACAAAAAAGAAAAATTAATCTCTCTCCCTAGGGTTTGTGGGGTCACAAAACATATAATTGGGGCTATCTTATGTTTCTGATCATGGGCAGATTTTCTTAGGATACTCTACCATAGTCTTTTCAAACAAGCTTATTTAAAAAAAAAAAAAAAGTTTTCCTTTATTTTCCTCAGCTAGAGTCAAATAAGAAAAGTCCAGGAAGTTTTTTCCAACATAGAGCTAAGAAACCCTCTGACATGCAAAATTCAAGAGTCAGTGTCCAGAAAAGCATAAGGCGGATAAAGAGAAGACCCAAGCCTGGGCACTGACGGCAGCATTATGTAACAGGAAATCGAAGACATGTTTTCAAACTGAAGGAAGGACTACGTTAGCCTTTTGTGGCTTCCTAAACTGGTGACTCATTTTCAGGTGACAAACATGGAATTCCTCACACGTTTAAAAAAGAAATCTACTCAGACAAGTCCCCATTATCATTATCTTATGCAGTATATTTTCCCCCAAAACGAATATACAGCCTTATTATTAGCCTTCATGTCTACCAATTCAAGGTCTTTTTCTTTTTCTTTTTTTAAAATGATTTTATTTTTATTTATTTGACAGAGATTACAAGTAGGCAGAGAGGCAGGCAGAGAGAGAGGAGGAAACAGGCTCCCTGCTGAGCAGAGAGCCCGATGAGGGGCTCCATCCCAGGACGCTGGGATCATGACCTGAGCTGAAGGCAGAGGCTATCACCCACTGAGTCACCCAGGTGCCCCAACGTCTTTTTCAAACTGCAATTATTCATCCACTGTGTAGATTCCACACTGGTTAGTTGCAAAACTGAAACTAAGCCTCCAAAATCTGTATTAAGACAATGAAATGAACATAACCACAGACAATAACCCCCAGTATTCCACGCAAGAACTGTGCTTTGATGAGAAACCGTATCAAATAAGGTGTTTTTAAAATAAAAGTGGGTGGTCTAAGAATAATCTGAAGCAGTTGGGATGCTGCCTGTGTGATATATTTATCTAATAAAATGGTGTGACGACTGGGAGGGGGAGGGCAGAGACCTTAATGCATCTTCCAGATTTATGTATTTACTAGGAAGAAATTAACTGGCTTTGGTTATAAATCCATTATAAATCCACTTCATATTCTTAAGCTATTAATTACCCACAAATAAACTACAGAACTAGAAGGTGTTGGTGGTAAACAATACTGCTGGGGAGCCTCTGTATAAGCGCAGACACCACCTGTTGATTCAACTGAATTTTTAAAAGAAACACCAACCACTGGACAGGTTCCACCTGCAGGAGAAAAAAATGCACTATTGTGTAAGGATACTGTGGTTTTCTTGGATATGTTCAGGGTAAACAGCAACCCAGCCACTGTGTCCTCACTCTGTATTTACTATTCACTATTCCTTTTTTTTTTTTTTAACTATTCACTATTCTTAAATGTAATAATGAATGAGTAGATGAGAATACATTAGAATGGTGGTTAAAAACTCAAAAAGAAGAAATCCTTTTGAATTTTAATCCAGAGAGAGAGAGATTTGAGAAAATAAGGAAAAATAGAAGAGGGGTGTAAAAAAAGAAAAGGAAGTTGTTGTTTTTTTTTTTTAAGATTTATTTATTTATTTGTCAGAGAGAGAGAGTGTGAGCGAGCACACAATCAGAGGGAGCAGAAGGCAGAGGGAGAAGCAGGCTCCCTAGATGTGGGACCCTATCCCAGGACCCTGGGATCATGACCTGAGCCAAATGCAGATGCTTAACCAACTGAGCCACCCAGGCATCTAAAAAAGGAAGTTGCTAGTGCAATACTAGAACTTCTTAAAAATATAACTGTTGGAACAATTCAAAAAACCAAATTAAAGCGATAGAGAACCGTGAGCTGTCAGCAGGTCCAGTGTATCTCAGTGTGGGCCGAAGACCTATGGCGCACCACTCTTGCAGAGGGGCCCAGAGAGCAAAGAATTTTCCTAGTAACAATAAGATACCGCTGCCTTTTCGTAACAATAACATCTGCCCGGTCGGTACTAAAGCAGCAGTGAGTGAGCTGCCCACCCTCAGCATGAATCAAGGCAGTGGCGCTGGACTGTCTTCAGAGTTGATCTAGTCTTCAGTGCCACATCCTCACGAAAGTAATCCAAATTCATTTTAAATTTATGAATTTTATGAATCCAAACATCAAAGTCGACTTGTTTCAGTGTTTGGTACTATGAAATGTGAGGTACACGAGGGAACTAAAAATCAACCATCCAAGCATAATGGCGGACCGAAGGAAAAGGACTGAGCCACCCAGGTACCCCTATTTCTTCCTATTTTGAGTGGGAATATGAAGTTGGGGAACAAACCAGCCTTTCTGTGACCAGAAGAGAACACACTGAGACAGAACATGGACATCTTAAAGAAGGTGGAACAAAACAATAGAAAAGCTAGGAACCTGATGATATACTTGAAGAGTGCAAGAATGCTGGGGGGGCACCTGGGTGGCTCAGTCAGTTAAGCCTCTGCTTTTAGCTCACGTCATGATCTCAGGGTCCTAAGATACAGCCCGAGCTGGGCTCTCTGCTCAGCCCAAAGTCGGCTTCTCCCTCTCCTCTGCCTCTCCCCACCACTTGTGCATGTAACGTGTACTCTCTCTCTCAAATAAGTAAATAAAACCATTAAAGAGAAAAAAAAGTTGGAACTGCCAATCTGAAGACAGCCAGTTGAACAAAAAAACCCAACATCCTTATGGTTTAGGGACATAAGGCTGCTAGATTAGATTTTCTGTTCTTTGTGGGGAAAGTGAGATTTTCTGTTCTTTGTAGGCAAAAGCATTCCTAAGAGATTAAACAGTAAACTTCCTCACTGAGTCCTAATTTAGCTCTCACATGCACATCCTACCCACAAATACTAAGTAGTGTCATAGTCTTCACTTTACCCAATGATTGTTCTACGACAAGATAAATGGTCCTTCTTCAGAAATGGCTGACAAATACGGAACCCAATAGTCTGTATTTCTTACCTTCCATGTAAAAATAATTGCTAAGATCTACTTGTGTATGAATTTGCAAGACATGAAGAAGTCCAAAAAGCATTCAACAAGCTGACTGGCAGATATCTTGAATTATCATTGGTTTAGTGTTCTGCTTTCAAGAACAAAATAATATTTTCAGGGACAGATGTCTTTATCTACTTCTCTGGAATCATTCTGGGAAATACAGAGGTTGTGGACTGAAATGCATGTAAGCACTGGAGAACAAATCGACAATAACCAAGGTGGGCTAAGTCTAAAGAAAACTGGGATCTGAAGAAACATTCCACTTCCAAGGAATACCTGCTACTCGAGGTGAGCCAACTACTGCTCCATGGGAATGAGGTGCCAGAATTACCACATCTTCCAATTTTGGAGGAAAGATTAGAAATCTAGACTACTTTTGCATAGCTCTAGTTATTTGTTTCATGTTGGCAAAGATTTAAAATAAACAAAATAACCCAACCTGGGCCAAAAAAACACGTACCCAGGCTTCATCTTCCCTACCGATAGCCAGGACATCACCTCAGGGTGTGAGGTGTGATATTTGACGACGGCCCAAGAAAATTCTATTAAAACTCGATACATGGTTCAAAAAACTTCAAGATTAATTCCGAAGGTGTATTTCAAATGTGAGTCACACAGACTAAGCATCCATCTCCTGTGTGCTAATGGGGCTCTGCTATTAACGTGCTTACCTCCAGGAGCAGAAGGGTCTCCTGTTCAGTCCATTCTCTTCCAGCACTGGCACCTTTACTCTAAAGAAACAAAACTGGAAATTAGGTACTCGTTTCCTAAAGGCTGATATGGAGTTCAGGAGGAATCCCTTCTATGTAGAGGGAGCTGTTTTATGCAAACAACCAAATAAACACTTAATAAATAAAATAATAAATAAAACACTTAAAGGACTCTAAACTTCAGCAGAAAGGCAGACCCATTTCAATGATTTCTTGCTGTCTATGAGGACTCATAGACCACTCAGACATATTACTTCTGTCATTTTGATATTTAAAGATAGCTTTTGAAGCTACAAAGGCTACAATATTTTAATGCATACCATGAATTGGCTATGAAATTACCCATAATACAAATATTTGGTATAACTTGAAGGAAGCATTTTTTCCAAAATTCAAAGACAAATTATACTACATATAAATTACTCTGAGGGATTCTTGATTCCAACTGCAACAAGTTCAGATTCTCAATTTTATCACCTCTTGATTAAAATAATTACCAAGTGATTCCTTAAATTTCAAATCACTCTTTCTATAAGAATCCCTTTAACTGCCAATTCACATGAACATGGGGAGAGAAGAAAGACAATTTTGTGTTACATAAAAACTAAGATTTATCAATTGATTCATACTTCTTGAGTTGGCAGGCCCTGCTCCATTCACAGACTGGCAGAGGACAGGATGTGTGGTATACCTGACATTATTCTTCACCTATAAATGTTACCAATTCAAAATACACATTCTATCATATCCCTTCTCTGAAAACTCTATTTTGGGAGATTAGAATTTAACAAATCAAGAGAAAATATCTATGGTCTGTGATTTCCTTGATTGTGATAATAAAGCTTCTCAAGTTAATTTGATTCAACCTTTCTGCCTAACTGCACTAAATACTATGGGTAAAAATTAAATTACAACTTGCTAGATTTCCACAGTATTCGATACATACCATTCTGAAATTTTTGCAAAAATATGTACTATAAATAACTAGTCCTTTAACTAGAGAATAAAGAGAAATGGAAGCATTATAGAAGTCAAGTCTTACGCATGGACGCTGTGAGAGGGAAAAAATGCATAGAGCTGTCATTCCTAACACACTGTTCAGATTCCTTAAGGATTCTAATAACCAATGTTCATCTTTTAGTGAACCAACCTCAGAAGTGACCATATGGAGCTCCAAGAGGACGAAAATTCATTAACACTTCACCTAAGTCCTAAAGAAGGCAAACCTGACTACAGGAAAGATCCATACAACCTACATGTGATGGCATTTACTGGGGACATGCAGAGCGAGCCTTTCTCCACCTCCCAGCCACACGGTATAGTTTTTCCTCTTGATAAAAACTGGTTCTGGGAAGAATGCATTATCTCAACAGGGCCGATGAGATGATTGTGGGGGTTTCTGCACAATTGTAGAAATTTTTTTTTTTTTTGTACTTACTGGGGTAGAATGGATGTACAATAAAATACTCACATCTATTCACATATACACCCATGCAACAATGTAACTACCACTCAAATCAACATCCAAGGGGTCTCTCCTTTAAACCTCAAGTTGAGAGCAACTCACAGATGTACACACTATTCCCAATTCTATAATCACAGGTTAGTTTTTCTTGGATATGAACTTTGTAAAACCACTCAGTATGAGTTTGTGGGTCTGGTTTAATATTATGTCAATGACATTCAACCACACTCTTTACATGGAGGAGATCAATTCTTCATTTCTGTGTTATTATTACATTGTTTTAATAAGCCACAATTTGTCCACTATATGCTTGATTAATCACTGTTTACAGTTTTTGGCTATCCTGGATAAGGCTGCTAAGAACATTCATGCACATTTTTTTATATATCTATTCTTTAAAAAACTGATTTATCTTATTTACATAGCCAGGAGCTCAGTGACTGGGTGTGTTTATATATATTTAGCTATAATATTGTTTCCTCCACTTTTATTTCCTGATAGAGTTTGTATAGGTTGGTATTATTTCTTCCTTAATTGTTTGGTACAGGGATGCCTGCGTGGCTCAGTCCGCTGGGCATCTTCCTTTGACTCAGGTCATGATCCCAAGGTCCTGGGATTGAGTCCTGCGGGGGGTTCCCTGCTCAGCAGGGAGGCTGCTCCACCCTCTGCCTGCTACTCCCCCTGCTTGTGCTCTGATAAATAAATAAATTTTTACCAAAAATGTTTGGTACAAAAGCATAAATAGAATCATCTGGGCCTAGAGTTTTGTATTTCTTTCACTACATATAGATATAACAGACACAAGGCTATCCAAGTACATTAGTTTCCTGTGGCTACTGTAATCAAATTATCACAAACCTGATGCCCTAGAATAATGAAAATTCATTCTCTCACAGCTCAGGAGGCTGGAAGTACAAAATCAATACAACTGAGACAAAAGTCTTGATCTTAGCAGAGCCATACTCTCTCTGGATGCTCTTGGAGAGAATTCATTCTATGCCTCTTCTGCTTTCTGGTGGCTGCTTTGAACTCCTTCGCTTGTAGCAACCTCATTTTAACTGGTGCTCTTTCCTCCTCTTTTTTTTTTTTTTTTAAGATTTATTTATTCATGAGACAATGACAGAAATAGGGAAGCAGAGGCAGAGGGAGAAGCAAGCTCCCCATGTAGCAGGGAGCCAGATGCAGAACTCATTCCCAGGACCCTGGGGATCAATACCTGAGCCAAACACAGACACCTAACCAGTGGAGCCACCCAGGTACCCTGTCCTTTCCTCTTCTGTCTGCAAATCTCTCAGCATTCATCAAAGAACACATGTCATGGGGGCACCTGGGTGGCTCAGTCAGTTAAGCCTCTGACTCTTGATTTCAGTTCAGGTTATGATGATCTTAGGGGGGTGGGAATGAGCCCCACATCAGGCTCCCCACTGGGCAAGAAACTTGCTTAAGATTCCCTCCTCCAATAAATAAATAAAATCTAAAAAAAAAAACCCTCCCCCCTTTTCTGATCTATAATCTGTGTCTTCTCTTTTCTTCTTGATCACTTGGGTTAGAGGCTTGTCAAACTTATTCATCCTTTCAAATAACCATCTCCTTATTTCATTTGTTTTCTATGGTTTTTCTCATTTTGGTTTCTAGATTAATTTTGTTGTGGTTAGCCAACCCCATTTATATCACATGTATGAAATCATAAATCACATTTTATAGTATCACTCCTTTAAAACTGAGACCCATTCTATGGCTCAGAACTGAATATACTTTGGAGAATGTCCCCAAGAACTTTAAAAGAATGGTGTTTTCAGGCCTCCTGAGTGGCTCAGTTGCTTAACCGTCTGCCTTCAGCTCAGGTCATGATCTCAGGGTCCTGGGCTCAAGCACCACTTCGGGCTCTGCTCAGCAGCAAGTCTGCTTTTCCCTCTCCTTTTGCCCCTTCTTCCCCAACCCCAGCTCGTGCTCTAATAAATAAAATCTTTAAAAAAAAAAAAAAAAAAAAGGAATTTGTTTTTACTGTTATTTTGCATAGAGCTTTCTACATACCAAATAGGTCATATTGGTTCACAGTCTTGGGTCTAAATCTTTTCTTACTGACTTTCAACCTACTTGTTTTATCAATTACTGAGAATAGGTTAATGAAATTTCCAACTATAATTTTATGTCTGCCTATTGCTCCTTTCTATTCTATCAGTTTTTGCTTTACATATTTTGAATTTTTTAAATTAACTTTACACATACTTAGGATAATTATGTCCTTTTGATTAACGCTTTTATCATTATGAAATGACCACGGTTTAATCCTGGTAAAATAACTTGTCCTAATGTCTACGTTTGCTAATATTAACATAATGACTCTCTTGTTCTTCTGATTGGTATTTGGAAGATAGGTCTTTTCTTATCCTTTTATTTTTATATTTCAAGTGGATTTTTTTGTAGGCAATCTATGCTTGTACTTTTTTTTTATGCAATGTGACAGTTTCTGCTGCTTAATGGGAATATTACAACCACTTACACATAAGGTTACGGCTACCCCCGTGGACATGTGTACACCTACCATCTTGCCATATTCTACCCAGCACATCTATCCCCCGCCTTTCTCATTCTTTCTCTTTTATGGAGTAACTTTTTTTGCAGTCTTGCTGTTTTTATCTCCGTCATTAACTCATTAGTTATGGGTCTTTACATACTCTATGATTCACAATACTCATGTCTAACTTGCCACGGTGTACCTTCAAATACCACGTTACACATACTGTCTAGTAAAGAAACTATAATGCACTATACTTCCATTTTCCCTTCCTATGCCTTGAGCCCTGTTTGCTCGTTAACATTCACATGTTGTAAACCTAAAGATATGCTTGTATCATTCTTAGTCTGAAAAGTCTATTACCATTTTCTTAAACTACAAATGAGGAGAAAACCTCTTTTCACTGACACATGTGTTGACCTCTTCTGGCACTCATTCTTCTTCCACATAGATCCAGTCCTTTTCCAAAATGCTTTGCCAAAGTATTACATAATTTAATGTGAATCAGCATTTTGATCACATTTCTAAAAGATATCAGGATTTCAACTTCATATAATGGTCATTTTTCCGCCATTTTTGTCATTTCTACATGTTATGAACTCCCCAAAATAATCACTGCTTCAACAGTCTACATTCCTTTATATTTAACCACATATTCCTTCTTTTCCTGGGAATGCTTCCTTCCTAGTCACACGTATCCATCAGGGACCAGAGTCCCTCATCCTGAAAAACTCCCCTTGGTTTTCCTACACTGTGTGCTAGCGATGCCCTCAAACACTTCTCGATGTCGTCGCTACCCTTCCCCTCCTAAAAGGTACTTTACTGCAAACACAACTGCAGAATTTTTAAATGAATGTTATTTAAAACATTTGGGCTTCAGCATTTTAAAATGTTATTATGTTGTCCCTCTCTGGCTTTTGTCATTTCTGCGGACAAGTCAGATATCAGTTTCATGATTGTTCCTTTGAATTTAATGTCCTTCTCCAACCCTGCTGAGTCCCCACAAAGTGGCTGTTTTTAAGATGTTACTTTTTAAGATAAGTTTAAGTGTGATGGGCCTGAATGTGGTTTCCTCTGTATCCAAACTGGATCTGTTCAGACTCATGAACTGATAACCTTTTTTATTTTTTTAAGATTTTGTTTGTTTATTTATTATTTATTTGTCACAGAGAGAGAGAGAGAGAGAGAGAGAGAGAGAGATCACAAGTAGGAAGAGAGAGATAGGGAGAAGCAGGTTCCCCGCTGAGCAGAGAGCCTGATGCGGGGCTCGATCCCGGGACCCTGAGATCAATGACCTGAGCCGAAAGCAGAGGCTCAACCCACTGAGCCACCCAGGTGCCCCGTGATATCTTTTTGTAATCAAAAATGTTTAGCCATTAAATCTTCAAATATCACTTTTGCTTCATTCTTTCTCTTCCTACAGGTCTCTAAGGATAAATATGAATTATTTTTATAGTAGCTCATGTGTCCCTTGCGCTCTGTTCCCTTTGTCCCTCTCCCTCACCCTCATCCAATTTCTTTTTCTCTTGGTGCTTCAGTTTCAATATATCTACTTCCTGTCTGAGCTCACTGTCTTCTGTTGTGTTCAGCCTGTAGCTAAAACCATCAATGAGTTAATTTCAGGCATATTTTTCAATTATACAATATACATTTGATTCTTCCTAGAGATTCCAAATATGTTGAAATTCTCCACTTTTCCTTGTTTTAACATATTAATCAGTTACTTTAAAATACCTATATTCTAACCATACAGGAAAAATGGTAAGATAAGTGATTGTTATTTTATAAAATGCCAGCAGGTTAAGTGGAATGCATACCTTCTTACAAAAAATGACACTTCTTAGAAGGACAAAGAAGAGGACATGCTGGATTGCAGCCCAGCTGTGCCTAGAAAAAAGTCCTTACCTTTGCTAAGGTTTTCTTGGAGTAAATGTCAGTACGAAGACCAAAGTTCTGCAAATCAATTGGTTTTTCCTTGTTCTTCTCAGGAAAATTTAACATCTGCTGAGCAGCAGGGACCTACAAGTCAGAAAAATGATAAATGGCTGTATTAACCTCCACAAAGTCAAGGGGATAGAAGTTTTTAAAGCACTGTTTAACAATGGCACGTAAGGAGATTTAAAAAAAAAAAAAAAAAACCCACACCTTCACCCTATACTTCCAACATTTCAACATAAGTGTATAAGCAACATTTTTTACCTCTATTAAATCCCAGAGAAAACAGGTAACAAGTTTTAATATGCTCTCCCATTTCATGTGAATTATAATTTATACCTTCAACTCATGTTATTCTAACTTAAGGCTATATAAAATATGGTTGACATACTAATCTTCTCAAGAATATGTGTATGGATGTCCACTTTCCAAATGTTAGGAAGGGGAAAAAGTTTCACACAATCAGTGTATAGCGTAATGATGCCACCTAATATTAGTTTATTAGTATAATAATTACTAATAGTGAATTATAATAATATTAGTGTAATAATTAAGTTACCTGAGGTGATCGAAGATGTAGAGGCACAAGCCCAGAGGGGGTATCAGCTAACACATTAAAATGAGGAGTAGGAGGAGGTCCCATAGCCATGGGTCGACTTTCTGGATCCACTTGGTAATTAACAAGCCCCCACTGCTCTAAAAAGGCATGAACCCTGGAAGAGTAAAGTTCTGAAAGTTAAAATCTAGAGAATGTACCCCATCTCCTTCATAACCATCATCACATTTCATTAAAAAATAAGAATAACACAACAAATAAATGTTCTCTGTAGGCTATGAATCATCACAAAGTTAACTGACAAGTGTGGTTTGTTATATGAGGGACAATTTCTAAACACTCAATGTTGACAGCAAAGCACCCCAAAACCTAGTACAAAGCCCAATTCTTTCAATCACAGAAATAAGAGAAGAAATGTTCATGTAAGTCCACAGTGAAAGAACTCATACACAGACCAAACTCAAGCAAGGAGATTCACATTTGATGTGTTTCTTTAGACAGATCTAGTGGACAGAGCTTATTCACTCTCCTGCTCAACTCACTCTCAATCCCTGGTCATTCTAGGATTTCATTATAAAATAAAAGATGTCAATTGTAAAATCTTAAAACGAGGAGAAAACGCCAAGGTATTAAATACATTCAACCCCTAAATAAAAGACATTTGATTAAGGTGTTTTATTAACAAAGAAAACATCAAGTGTAAGCACTCAAACGTTAAACAGCAGGGCATCGGTAACCTCCTGAAGTGAAGCGTCTGAGAAAAAGTCAGGCGTTTTACCTCATCACAGCACACACGTCTCCAGTCAAGTTCCTCCGACAAGCAGTGCTGGTTAAATATTCTTGGGGGTTTAGGCGATATGTGTCAATCATAAAATTTCGATATGCCAAGTATCTAAAAAGCAGTGGCAAAATTCATAAGATGGACACACATCCTTTCAGAAATAATAACTCACAGAGCCAAAAATCATCACATTCCTCACAACCAAATCCAACAAAAAGTTAACATTCCAACCAACAGTATTGAGTACTTACAGTCATGAATGTAACCAAGGATAAGAACCCTTAAAATGCAAAACAACTATTTACTAATATTTAACAACAATAAGTAAAATGGAGTAAAATCTGATGAAGTTAATATGAAGTAACACAGGGGCACTTGGCTGGCTCAGTTGGTAGAGCAAGCGACTCTTGATCTCAGGGACATGAGTTGGAGACCCACACTCGGCACAGAGTTTACACTAAAAATAATAATAATAATAATAGTAGTAGTAATAATGTGAACTAACATAAATACAAAAGTGGTCACAGGGGTATATGGATCATCAGTTCCCTGAAGAATTTGCAAATGACACCTGGTTACTTAGGCAGTCTCCCTAACTACTGTGTATCCAACCATAATTCATTTAAACCTCACAACTTCTCCATAAGGTAGGGTGTACTATCATTTCATTTATCAATGAGCAAACTTAAGCACAGATTAAAGAATGTGTCCTAGACCACAAGGCTGGTTAACTGTGGACCAGAATTCAACACAGCGGGTGGGGGGAGTTGGCACTCTGGAATCTATGCTCTTAACACATAATGTGTCTTATTTCTAGATTCTTCCTACAGCCACATGTGAATCTGGTTCCAACAATGGCTATATATCCAGCTAGATGAGGACTAAAACCCATGAGGCCAAAATCAAAGCTAAGACAAAAACAGACTAAAAAAAGATAAGAAAAACTGAAATTCTGAGTCACAGTAAATTTCACAACATACCCAAACCTTTCTACAACAAAATATTTAAAACAAGAGTGTTGAGATGCTAGAGACCCAGCAAAAGTTCTTGCCACAAAAGCAAAACAAAAATCTGGCAGGTTAAGGGTAGCTACATCAGAGTAGAAAAAGTCTGCTCAAAAAAGGTCTTGTATAAGCACAGGTGGATAAACAAAGACCCAAAGGTAAATGTTTAAATTTAAGCGGACTAAACTGCTAAACTGTGCTTGTAAAGAGACGACTGTCAAGAACCGTAAGTATCTATACAAATGCTGGCAATCAGCATGTTAGCTAGAAGAATATACCATGTCTAACTAGATGGAAAAACTAAAAGGGTTTCTTATGCCAACACTCTGATTGTGGTTTTAAATGAAACCTTACAGCTTTGTCATGGAAAGGCAGGAATCATCTCTGACATCTAAACTTAAACTCTCAAACTATCATGGACAATCTATTACAAGAAAATACTTATTATTCAATTATCTGTATTCTAGCATGTGTTTTATGTGGAAAATTATCCTTCCCTAACAATTGAAACATGAGACATTTATGAAATCACATAAGCATAACAAACAATGAATTAATGCTATAAAGACAATATACAGAAAAGTATTTTACGATATGATAGGTGTGGATTTATTTTTAGGGGGAAGGGTTTCCAGAAACATGTATTTAAGGATCACAAGGCAAAGGGAAAAATACTTCTTAACAAGATTCTTCCATCCATGTTATTGTATTTCCAATGTAAAAGCACAACAATGCTTATGTAATTAAGATTGATTTATAGGCAGCTGTGACATCATATTTGGCATTCTTTGAATTACTAGTCATTCATCAGGAAAATAAGATGTCACTTTCTCCTAGTTTACTCTCTCTCTCTACACACACACACACACACACACACACACACACACACATAATCTATTACACATAGGTACATACAAGGTGGAAACTGTTTGGGAGAAACCTGAACCCATTTTGTGAATGCCTGTTACCGAATTCAATTTTAGCTTTAAGAGCTGACATGCATGTAGTTCAAGGTTGTAGGTTCAAGATGCAAAGGAAAGAAAAAAATCTAGAACAATTTCCTTTACAACAAGGAATTCTGTGTGGCTGAGATATGAACACTGTTCTGGATGGAATAACACATTTGCAGACCTCTACACATTAGCAAAAATGAACTCAGAAGTATCCTTTTAAAAACCCCTGCCCAACACATTCAAATGAACAACTTTTCTAGACACTGACCCCATTCTAAAGTAAGAAACAGTATCAAGATTACATCTTCACATTTCACTCACATTTCTGGTGTCTTGGATTTGTTTTTCCCATTGAAAAACTCAGGAAGAGCACGCCGTTCAATCACATGAATACTGGGGAATAAAAAATAAAAAGTCCTCTTGGAAAAATGAAATCTTGAAATTTGAACTAAGTTTGTTTAATTTTCAAAGTAAAAGTGATAATTCCAAAAACTAAACATTATTTTCAGAACTTAATTATCCTGGGGCAGCTGGGTGGCTCAGTCATTAAGCATCGGCCTTCAGCTCAGGTCATGATCCCAGGGTCCTGGGATCGAGCCCCGCATCAGGCTCCCTGCTTCTTCTCCCTCTCCCACTCTCCCTGCTTGTGTTTCCTCTCTCACTGTGTCTCCCTCTGTCAAATAAATAAATAAAAGCTTTAAAAAAAAAAAAAAAGAGGGACGCCTGGGTCGCTCAGTTGGTTAAGCGGCTGCCTTCGGCTCAGGTCATGATCCCAGCGTCCTGGGATCGAGTCCCACATCGGGCTCCCTGCTCAGCAGGGAGCCTGCTTCTCCCTCTGCCTCTGCCTGCCACTCTGTCTGCCTGTGCTCTCTCTCTCTGACAAATAAATAAATGAAATCTTTAAAAAAAAAAAAAAGAACTTAATTGTCTCGTACAAGTTCTATGTATTAACAGCAAAAAGCCTTCCCCTTCTTACCCTCAAAACGTAATTGTAGTTTTTCCACTCCCACACCCAATCTCAAAAACTTCCATCAACACATTGAAAGCTATGTATTGCCTTATGTTCTTGATATAACACATCATGAGTAGATGACGAGCAACAGAATACAAAGAGTTCACTGGAAATGGCCAGACATCACAGCAGCTGGCATGGCAACAAACAGATGAAGCGAATGACCAGCTGAAAGATGATGGAATTTACCAATAAGCAGTTTCTTGGGATCTTAAGATCAATGAGCCCTTTTGGGCAGCCCTCAAAGAGTTTGTGCTGAACTGAATTTTTTTTTAAAGATTTTGGTAATCTACGGCCTTTAAAAAGATTATAGAACTGAGTTTTAATAGTGAGATAAAGGCACTGGTAATTTTATAAAGTGTTATAGGTGATAAGCACTACAGAGACCAGGTAAAAATCAGGTCTAATGCACGATACAAATGACCCAACTGTGTATATAGTACAAAGGTTTTGACGCTAATACTAATCAATGTTTTTATGATGATACTTTATAGTTTCTCAGTGGCTTTCCAGATATGCAGTATGTACTGGTTATGCAGGGAAGAACAAATCAATAATTGTGACTGTAACTACAGGCATTGTCTGGCTGGCTTAGTCAGTAGAGCCTATGACTCTTTTTTTTTTTTTTTTAAGATTTTATTTATTTATTTGAAAGAGAGACAGTGAGAGAGAAAACACGAGTAAGGGAAGCAAGAGAGGAAGAAGCAGGTTTGCCGCTGAGCAGGCAGCCCAATGCAGGGCTCGATCTCAAGACCCTGGGCTCATGAGCTGAGCCAAAGCCAGACGCTTAACCACTGAGCCATCCAGGTGCCCCGAGCACGTGACTCTTGATCTCAGAGTCCTAAGTTCGATCACCCTTTTAAACACAGAGTTTATTTACTTTAAAAAAAAAAAAAAGCATTTATTCTTGCATCATTTGGGAACATTTAAATTGTCTGAACGGGATCTGTACTGCCAAACACTATAAATACAATGAATTAACTTGAAAACTTCTAGGAAGATCATTTCTAAGATGAATTAGTACTATATAGTTATGTATAATGACTTTCCAAGTTTTACTATAAAAACAGCTATAAGCAATTATATACTTCAAACATACCTCTTGCTGTTTTTATTGTTAAAGGTTAGGAAGCCCACAAAAAAACACAATTTCTATATTCACCAAGAACAAAACACACATGAATGTTTAACCCTAAGCACTTTCTTTTCTGAATTGCTGGCAGCTGATTCCTGAGGTTCTGAGAATGAGTCAGGAAGGGGGTGCTCAGAATCAGAAAACCGAAGTTCTTCCAATTGTCCACTGTGACAGTTGACACAGTACTTGTCTTTATAAGATAGGGATGTGAGTTACACCTCCACGATCCGTAAGAGTAAGCTTTGTAACATGCAATGGTTATGATGCAAATGAGTGTTTCTGTAACCTATAAAAACCCTCCAAGTTACATACTATTATGACTGCCTTTTTTTTAATTTTAGAGGAAAAGAACACTAGTTTCTCAATTGTGTCCTTTTAAACAATTCTGAATCCAAACATGTAATTACAATTGCCAACAGTAAAACTAAGACACTTCCAAATTTAAAAATCACATCGTCGGGGCGCCTGGGTGGCTCAGTGAGTTAAAGCCTCTGCCTTCAGCTCAGGTCATGATCTCAGGGTCCTGGGATCAAGCCCCGTGTCGGCCTCTCTGCTCAACGGGGAGCCTGCTCCCTGCCCCCCGCCTACTTGTGATCTCTCTATCAAATAAATAAATAAAATCTTTAAAAAATAAATAAAAATAAAAATAAAAAATAAAAATCACATCGTCAATGTAATGAAGATTGACCTTCAAAGAAGAGCTATATACTTCTTCTGTCCTAGGTTCCATTTATTCAAAACATTTAGGAATGCCATTCAGAGTTGATCTTAAAGGCATGCAGAGAAGTATCAATATTAGAGTCATATTTTGTGGTTTTTTGGAAAAAAGTTAGGTATAGTTCCAAGTGAATCATCCACCCTATTCCTTTAAATTGGCTTCTAAAGATATATATATATATATCTTTATGTCTAATGCATGTATATGTCTAAATATATGTATGTCTAAATGCATGTATAAAGACATATATATACAAAGACACACATAGATAAGATCACACTTATCCTTAAAGAATGTTTACCCCTAAATCAAATAATACATTATATGTTAATAAAAAAAAAAACTGGGGCGCCTGGGTGGCTCAGTCGGTTAAGCAGCTGTCTTTGGCTCAGGTCGTGATCCCAGGTTCCTGGGATCAAGCCCCACACTGGGCTTCCTGCTCAGCACAGAGCCTGCTTCTTCCTCTCCCTGTCTGCCGCTCTGCCTACTTGTGCGCTCTCTCTGTCAAATAAATAAAATCTTTTAAGAAAAAAGAAAATTAAAAAAAAAAAAAGTGATAATGTGTAACAATCGAGAGCAAGCAGTAGATCCAGATAAGACCACAAGATTCCAAGTAAGGGCAACATCACTGGAGTTAAGTGTACAACTTTCTAATGAAAGTACCTTAAAGGAGCTAACTATTTGGTGGGGCAGGTTCTGGTACATATATTTAAAAATAAAAAGCCTGGGCGCCTGGATGGCACAGTCGTTAACCATCTGCCTTCGGCTCAGGTCAAGATCCCTGGGTCCTGGGATTGAGCCCCAAATTTGGCTCCCCGCTTGGTGGGAAGTCTGCTTCTTCCATTCCCCTGCTTGTGTTCCCTCTCTCACTGTGTCTGTCAAATAAATAAATAAAATCTTTTTTAAAAAAATAATAAATCTTGAAACACTGAAAAAAATTAAATTTAAAAATAATAAAATAAAATAAAAATAAAAGCCAAATAAAAATCAGCCTGATATGAAATAGTCACACTTTGAAAATAATCAACAAATAAGATATATAGGATTACAACAGTACTCCAGTGATGCCAAATGGTTGTGGTAAATGATAGGGAAGATGCTAAGGAAGGTGTTTTCTTGAACTTCTTTTTTGTAAAGATGCTTTACTGATCTGTTTGAGAGAGAGAGAAAGAGAGACAGAGAAGGAGTAGGGGGAGGGGCAGAAGCAGATTCTCTACTATGCAGGGAGTCCAATGTAGAACTTGATCCCAGGACTCCTGGGATCATGACCTGAGCCGAAGGCAGACGCTTAACCGACTGAGCCACCCAGGCACCCCATTCTTAAACTTTTTATATATGAAAAACATCTTAATGTTAAAAATATTTCCTACTGGGGTGGCTTGGCTGGCTCAGTCAGTAAAGCTATTTGACTCTCGATCTCAGGGTTGTGAGTTCAAGCCCCACAATGGATGCAGAACGCACTTAAAAAAAAAAAAAATTCCTATTAAAATGAAGCCATAGGGGCACCTGGGTGGCTCAGTGGGTTAAAGCCTCTGCCTTTGGCTCAGGTCATGGTCCCGGGGTCCTGGGATTGAGCCCCGCATTGGGCTCTCTGTTCAGCGGGGAGCCTGCTTCCTCCTCTCTCTCTGCCTGCTTCTCTGCCTACTTGTGATCTCTGTCTGTCAAATAAATAATAAAATCTTAAAAAAAAAAAATGAAGCCATTACTAGGTAGTAAGAGGAGGTCTTTATAAAATGTACTTCTTTAATGTGTGTTTTTTTCAGGGGCTCGAACTTACAACCTGAGATCAAGAGTCGCATGCTCTACCAACTAAGCCAGCCAGGTGCCCCTAATATTTTAAAATCATATAATGAATGTCTATATTTTAAAATTATTAAATAATAAATTATTTGCCCATCTGAATTGTAACTGATTCTAAATGAGGTAAGTCTAACCTGAAAAAATTTTACAATCCCTAAGTACAACACAACATCGTTTCCATCCCTAAACAACTCTAAAGAAAAGACTCCAAAGTGAAAATAAAATCACTTTCCATCTCCTTCAGCCATATTTTTTTTAAGATTTCATTTATTCATTTGACAGAGAGAGAAAGAGAGGGAGAGGACAGGAAGAGAGAGAGGGAGAAGATGACTCCCTTCAAGCAGAGAGCCCGATGCGGGACTTGATCCCAGGACGGAGATCCGAACCTAAGCAGAAGGCAGATACTTGACTGACTGAGCCATCCAGGCGCCCCCACCCTCCCCCCTTTTCTTAAGATTTCCCTTCATCCAATTTGACACTGATTATTGATACAGGGATTTGGGCAGGAAAGTTCTCCCATACCTAAGTACCATACTCACCCGTGTACACAGCCCACTCACCAGTTATAATCAAACCACGACGCGTAGCTAGGAATAATAATGTGATTGGTCTGCTCAGTAACATTATCTTCTCCAGGGTCAAGTGAGCGACTCTGATCACCTTTGCTAGGATCTTCATCTTCCTACAGAAGAGAACCCAGAGTTTAGAGAAACAGAGAACCACAGGACATAAATTTTTTTCCAACTACTCATATTAGGGCACAAAATGAAGCTATCTAATCCAATTTCAAGTCTCAGAAAAACAAATTTCAATGAAAAGCAGCCTTTCACAGTTCTCAAAGTACCTTCATAAGATGTCGAGATGACACAGCAGACTCCTCCCTTTTACAGATAAGGTAATCAACTCCGAGAAGGCCCAAACCTTTCCCCACAGAAGCCTGCTTCTTACGTGTCCAGTTTTATCTAATCCTAGGGTCACAAATCTAAATTACTAGTTCTCAAGTTATTTATAAGAAGGTGACTCAAGGACACTAATGAAGCGCAATGGCACGCTTTCCCCTATCCCAAAGATTGATCAGTAAGTATCTGCTAGTGGCTATGTGCACCTTATCTCATTCATTCCTCACAATAACAGCAGGTATTATCACCTCTTTTACGGATGAGAAAATGATGCCCAGAACCAGTAAGTTGTAAAAAGGGTATAACTCCAGAAAACCCAGTCTGAGGGCCTATACTCTCAACCATTTTCATTACTTAAAGTCAGCTCTCATTTTTATCACATGTACGGAGGTTTTACAAATGATTCCACCCAAAAATCTGGCCTGGCTAATACAATAATTTAAAAATCATTGCTTTGGCTCAAAACCCAAGAACATTTCTTATGTAAAGAGTAATAACAATTTTAAATACTATCATGTAATACACAGTTTATATTCAAATGGTTCCAAGATATCCCAGAAATGCCCTTTATACATTTTTCTCCCCAAACCAGAACCTGTTCAAGGAATCCACATTATATGATACTCACATCTCTTTAGTTTCCTTTAATACCTGCCCCCATTTGGGGGGGATGGGGGTATCCCACAACATTCAAATATTTCAAAACTCCAGAACAAATGACTTATGTAATATCTAACAATCTCTATTTATATTACTTATCCTTCATAATTAACTTCTGATGAAACATTTTTATCAAGAATGCCACAGGAAGGGGCGCCTCGATGGCTCAGTTGTTAAGCGTCTGCCTTCAGCTCAGGTCATGATCCCAGGGTCCTGGGATCAAGCCCTGAATCATGCTCCCTGCTCAGTGGGAGGCCTGCTTCTCCCCCTCCAACTCACCCTTCCCTCTCTCATTCTCCGTCAAATAAATAAATAAAATCTTTAAAAATAAAAGCAAGAGAATACCACAGGCAGAAAGTTTTTTGACATTCAGATGTTTTCAATCTTCTACAGTTATACCATTATATCCATCGCTCTTTTATCTGTAGTGCTTTACTGTTTTTATTCTTATGAAATAATTAATAAATAACCGAAAATGTTGTGTTGAGTATTTATAGTGAGGATCTAGTATTACTGCCTAGAAACTTAAGACACTAATTTTCTTAAGATTAATGAATACAGAAAAAAAGTATGAAAGCCCCAAGGAAACGCCAGTTGTTACTTAAATGATTTTGAAACAATTTTTTTTTTAATTTAAAGATTTTATTTATTTATCTGACAGAGAGATCACAAGCAGGCAGAGAGGCAGGCAGAGAGAGAGGGGGAGGAAGCAGGCTCCCTGCTGAGCAGAGAGCCCGATGCGGGGCTCGATCCCAGGACTCCGAGATCATGACCCGAGCCGAAGGCAGCGGCTTAACCCACTGAGCCACCCAGGCGCCCTGATTTTGAAACAATTTTGATGACAAAGGTAAGAAATGTTATTTCCCAAATCAGAGGAGCTAGTAAAAAATATGCTAATGGTTAATGAGTTTTTAAGGAGTAGATATCACCAACTCAGTTAGAATATAAAAAATTTCCTTTACTCAAGGAAAACCAGGGAAAGACTGCCACTGGAATTAACAAAAGCCAGTAGTCTATGATTTAATTATCTGAGTGACGGAACACATGGGATGACATTATGGGACCAGCTATTAACTGGTAACTATTTTCTTTTTTACTATTGTTTTAGTAACTCTTTTCTTTTAAGATTTTATTTATTTGAGGGGCGCCTGGGTGGCTAAGTGGGTTAAAGCCTCTGCCTTCGGCTCAGGTCACGATCCCAGAGTCCTGAGATCGAGCCTCGCATCGGGCTCTCTGCTCAGCAGGGAGCCTGCTTCCTCCTCTCTCTCTGCCTGCCTCTCTGACTACTTGTAATCTCTATCAAATAAATAAATAAAATCTTTAAAAAAAAAAAAAGATTTTACTTATTTGAGAGAGAGAGAGCGAGCATGAGAGGGGAAAAGGTCAGAGGGAGATGCAGACTCCCCATGGAGCTGGGAGCCTGATGAGGGACTCGATCCCGGAACTCAGGGATCATGACCTGAGCCGAAGGCAATCGCTTAACTAACTGAAGGCAGTTGCTTAACCAACTGAGGCACCCAGGCGCCCTTCTTTTTTCTCAAGATTTTATTTATTTATTTGACAGAGACTCCAACTATTTTCTAACCAGCTTTGGTTTTAGTTATACAACAGACCTGGCCTTGGTTTCAAGATACTCCTTGTCCCTGGCATAAAAAGAAAACCCTACAGGTCACAACTGTCTGGCTTATTTTGGTCTCTTCCACTGCCACACAACAGTATTTACACTAACCGATGACATCTTTTTACAAATATAATATCTGTTAATGGTTGCTAAGTAGCTCTTTAACTAAAGAAGTCTAATTTTATTTATTTATTTTAAAGATTTTATGTATTTATTTGAGAGAGACAGAGAGAGAAATCACAAGCAGGCAGAGAGGCAGGCTGAGAGGGGGGAAGCAGGCTCCCCGCCGAGTGGAGAGCCCGACTCGGGACTCGATCCCAGGACCCTAAGACCACGACCCAAGCCAAAGGCTGAGGCCCAACCCACTGAGCCACCCAGGCGCCCCAAGAAATCTAATTTTAAAGAAAAAAAACATAGGGATTCCTGGCTGGCTCTGTCAGTAGAGTGTGCAACTCTTGATCTTGGGGCTGTGAGTTCGGGTCCACACTGGGTACAGAGCTTACTTAAAAATAAAATCTAAAAAAAAAAAAAAACAACACACACAAAAAAACCTTCCAGGCACTAGGGTGGCTCAGTCAATTAAGAGTCTGACCCTTGGTTTCAGCTCAGGTCATGACCTCATGAGTCCTGAAATCAAACCCCACATTGGATCTGCGCTCAGTGGGGAGTCTGCTAAGATTCTCTCCCTCTGCCCCTCCCCCTACTTGTGCAACACTCTCTCTAAAGTAAACAAATCTTTAAAAACTAAAATAAAATCTTAAAAGAAAAGAATCGTAAGAATAATTTCATTAAAGAGCCTTATGGAGATGAGTTTCTCGAAAGTTTTCAGGAAAATCCTATCATAAAGAGGTTCATTCCTTGAATGTATAAAAAAACACAGTAAGTGTCAATTTGGGGGATTTCTCTGATTCAGTGAAAAAAGAACTACCCATTTTCAGCAAAGTAAGAGAGTTATTTCAAGGGGATTGTTATTTGAGGGATTAGGGATCAGTTACACTTAACTAATAACACAGTCAAATATGATAGTTTGAATGAACAGGCCATTTACTAAAAATCCTGCCTGAAATCCAACACTTTCCAACAACATCATTATTGCTAGTCTCTACCACAGGACTGATGGAACAGGAAGCTGCTGACTGTGAGGGCTCAAAAAAGGTTATGAGTATCCTCAAGGGCTGGGGGCTGGAGATGCACCCAAAGAAATGGAAGTGAGAAAGTCAAGGCAATCGACGTGGTCCCTGCTTAACCTGTCCTGTCAGAGGACACTTGGAACACTGCAGTCAGCTCTGATTACTACCTTGCAACCAGTGGGTGACAGAACCAGAAATGATAGCATAAGAGGAACACTTCATGAGAAGATAGAAATTTCCTCTCAATAAAATTTTCAGAGTCAAGAAAGACAAATTTCAGGAGTGTGTTAAAAAAAGATCAGAAGGGCCCTCAAAACTGAACATTTCTAAGGACACTTCTAATCAGTGTTCCTACTGCTCCATGCAGAGGACCCTCAGATAGCTACTTCTCCACCAGGCCTAACTAAATCGTTACCTTTCCTCCTGCTGTGACTGTTTCTTCATCCTGTTCATCTGTAAAATCAAAATACATGATTTATTTAAAAATCAGGTCTGCTCTTTGGATTACTTGAAAACCAAGGTAATTTTAAAAACTTTAATTGTTCCATAGAGAGAATAGGAAAGAAATAAAGCATTACTAAAGCAAACCCACCTCTAGTAATTCAGTAAACTGAAATTGTACACAGAAGCACCAAAGTGAGTAGAACTTCAAAGCATTAATAATTAAAAATTTCCAACAGGGAATTTGTAATTAATTACTGCTTGGGCTACTATCTTAGTCATGATCTTGTTAATAAAAGATAAAGGACTTGATTAGGGCTCTTGCCTCCTGCGATTTGATGAAACAAAGTAATGACATTTTGGATCTCAGAGGAAACGAGTGAAGGAAATGACGAGTAAAGAAAAGCTGTGAAAATCTGTCACTACAGACAAAGTCCTGGTAAGAGTGCTAATATATTCTGAGGACATAGGACTCTAGGACAGCACTCCTGTGCTAGCCCTGCAAAAGCATAGTAGTAAACCCAAGTATAATTTAAACAATGCAGCTGATTTCCATAGCAAAAAATACCAGTATGGATAATTGTCTATATATACGAAGGAAGGCTGCATTTGCATTATAATGGCAAAGTTAATCAACTGAGACAGACCACATGGCCCACAATGTCTAAAACATTTACTACCTGGCCCTTTCCAGGGTAAGTCCACCAGCCTCTATTTTAGAAAATATACAAAGATCACTAGTACATGAACAGGTAGTACTCAAACCTTCAACTGTATTTCATAGAGTGCCTCTACTACATGCCAGCCACGGTCCAAATGCTAAGGACACAAGCAAGAACAAGAAAAGGTCCCGACTTCTTGGAGTTTACATTCCAGTTACAAGTGGCAAGAGACAGAAGAGAAAATACACAAACAGGTATCAAATGTTACCAGAGGAAAACAAATCAATGTATTTCAGAGAGGGGCCGGATGGGTGGACCCTTCCAAATACAGAAAGAAGGGAACGACAAAGCAAGGCTTTCCTGGACAGGAAGCAGCCTGGTCAAAGGGCAGCAGATGGTGGTGGACCTGCCGCCTTCACAGATCTCAAAGGTCACTATGAGCATCAATAAAGCCTAGGAGAAATGAGCACAGCACAAGGGCAGAGTGCAGGGACACAAGCAGAAGAACGAAAGTGAGACACCCCGGGACCTAACTCTGTGCTCTGTCGCTTAATAGCTGTACACTTGGAAACATTACTGAATCCCTCCAGGCTCCATCGCCTCATCAGTGACACGAGGCTGACATGGATTTACAGTGAAATGCAAATGTATGGAGAATGACACCTGGCAGGTACTCATGCAAAACAGAGATGGCGCTGTTGCTTGATGTGTCAGACAAACACCCACTAGCATGAATGTGGTAAATAAATCACGGTCACCCAGCTCTGCACCCTGACTACTTTTATTCTAGAAAGTGAACAAACAGATCTAAATGACGTTGTCAAACATGAACTTTTTGTCCTTTGGATCTTGCTAAACCACATGATAAATAATTTCTCACTAAATGGTGAAAACACAACCTAATGATCTCTCTCTGGCCAAAATATATACCATTTAAATTTACTCTGACAGATTTCTGTCCCTGCGGTAGTCTTGGTACCCAAAGGAAATAGACTTCTGATAATACTAAAGTAGGAGGGACAGATATCCTGCTTACTGATTGCTAAACAGTAAAAATAAATGTTCTCTTCCTCCTTTCAGATGTAGGCAATCACAGCCTCACCTCAGCCCCTAGATCCTGACCTTTCGGAGATCTCAAGACAGAAAGGAAGCAAGTACTGGGTATACATAGCTAGAAGACATATAAGGCAGAATACGGACAAGTTAAAGCAATAAACAACTCTGTGAAGAGGCATTCCCAGGTGCTGGATCAGTTACCCCTGGCATGGTTCAGGTTATACCTAATGCAGAAAGCCAGATGCTTCAGTGATACATGGAAAAGCCCGCTGATCCCTGCATGAGAAGCCAGGACAAGTTTCAAATTCCACAGACTCTAGCTCTCCAGCTGTGATAAGCAGCATTGTGGGCCATAACACCCTTACTATTCAGACTTCAAACCATTCACAAACACAAAGGGAAGATCCCTTACAACCAGCACAAAGTCTTAATCCAACTGATACCTCTATCTATTGCTTAAAACTGGCTTCAGTTTGACTCCTCTGATAATGTCTATTACAAAAATTCTCTAATACTTACCTCCGCTTCTAAAAAGACAACTACCCGCTCCCTTAAAACTAAAGATTGATTCCTTTTCAGGATATATATTTAAGAAATACAAACTATTACTCTGTTTAACAAACTGTTCCAGTGAAGATAATCAAGTCTTAACAATCATTTACCCTACTACATTACTGAAAATATAAAAGGCTGCATACAGCTAGTTTTGTTTTCCTGGCCTTTGGTTCAGTGGTAAGTACCAGCTGTGAAAACAGGCAATATAAAAAAAGAAAAAAAAGAAAATGGAAATTACTAATATTTATTAATATCCTATTAATAATGTTAAAGACAATTAAGAGGAACAATGTTTTGACAGCATTTCTTTTTCATTTCTTTTGTCAACCTAACATCACCTTAAATAAACTGTCATCAAGACAATTCTCAATTCTCTATTTTTTGACATAATCAAAAATGGAGTCATCCACTAATGTTAAATGACAGGCGATACCCAGAAAAAGGAGGGTGTAGTGAAATGAAAAACAAAACAAACCCTCCCCTAACTACCTACTCACAACTGTCATCAAGAATCTCTGAAAAAGGGGCACCTGGATGCCTCAGTCAGGTAAGTGGCTGACTCTTGATTTTGGCTCAGGTCATGATCTGGGATCCATGGGTCCTGGGATCTAACCCTGAGTAGGGCTCCGTACTCAGCAGAAGTCTGCTTGAGGATACTCTCCCCCTCTGGCCCTCCCCTAGCTCACGAGCTCACACACACTTGTGCTTTCTAAAATAAATAAATAAATCTTTAAAGGAAGAAAGAGACCCCTGGGGGTGGGGGAGGGAACAATCTCTGCAATTTGCCTGAAATACAGAATTCACTTAGTGAGGAGATGGAGAAACCGATGTCTCATTTTCCACATTACCCCTCCCAAGTGGAAAATTCCCTAAAGTCAAAAATTTGATACATACTGAAAACACTAGATTCTCCTTTGATTTTTTAAAAACGATTTTATTTGAGAGAGAGCGAGCAAGGGAGAGAGCAAGAGCGAGGAGCAGAGGAAGAAGGAGAAGAAGACTTCCTGCTGAGCAGAACCCAAAGTGGAGCTCAATCCCAGGACCCCGGGATGATGACCTGAGCCAAAGGCAGACGCTTAACTGACTGAGCCACCCAGGCGCCCCTCCTTTGATCTTTTCAAGTGAAGAAAGAAACTGAGATCCATATATAACACTCAAGAACAAAGACGTTTACAACTACCTCTATTTTCTTAAACTGGAACAAGTGACTACCCTCCTCTTGTCTACCCAACAGCACATCCACGGATTATGCCTCACTTGTGAAAATGTACTCTGTGACTTGTAAATAGTTTGAGCAGATGATGTGATTCTCATCTTACACTATTTAGAAAGCTAGAAGAAATACTTTAGAAAATAAAGCATTTAAGAGACAGCACACTTTTGTTCTGAAGAGGCAAAATCAAATCAGTAAGAATGGAAAAAATGGATCACAGGAAATTAAATTTCCTGATATGGCAGCCAATGAAATGACAGTGGTGCTGAGGGAGCCATGGTCAACATCTATGCTGGACAAAAAGGTAGCAATTGGAAGCGACATCTCTCAGGAAAGAAAGAATTATCAAAGAAACTGAATCTTCAAGAGAAAAAAAACCACAAAAGTGTATAGACTGCTTCGGTTTTTACCTAGATCTGCGACAGTTCCTCCTTTAACAGGTGTGTTTTCACTGTCTTTCTTTGGGTTCACTGGAAAGAAAAAAAAAATCATGTTTTAGTGGGAAAGGTCCACTTTTTTAAAAGAAGAAAATAGAATAAAAGAGGACTGAAAACTACAGGAATCTCACAGCAAATGCACAATCATCCAGTGTTCACCTTCATGAAAAACCCAAGCCCAACAGAGAAGGATTAACACTTACTTAACAGACTGCATTCTGTAATTAATTTCCTAAGCACCGATATTTTTCCATGACAAAAAGTACACAACACAAAAATATATAGGTCAAAACCTGAAAAGAACCTTTCAATCCTTTCCCCAAAAGTATTTTTTATTACATTTTCTGTGCATTTATTGATTCCGATTTTTGTGCCATTCACTTAAATTGAGGGAGAACTATTAATACCTTTTATATATCTATGTAGACTTCAAAACATATTTGAGGGTTTTAAATCTTATAGATATGTTACCCATACTGCGCTCTTCCTTAGCACTCTATTTTTCTCATTCAATAGTGGGCCTGTATGACCTTTCCATGCTACGTATTTTTAGTTAATTTATATCTTTTATTTTTTTTTAAGCTTTTATGTATTTATTTGAGAGAGAATGAGGGGGGGTAGGGTCAGAGGGAGAAGCAGACCCCCTGCTGAGCAGGGAACCTGATGCAGGAATCCATCAGGGACTCCAGGATCATGATCTGAGCTGAAGGCAGTTGCTCAGCCAACTGAGTGACCCAGGCGCCCAATCTCTTACATTTTCAATAATCCACCGTGTCCAAAGATGGGTCATAAGATAACTAGTGCTATATTAATGGAAACTTATTTTATTTGCAATTTTTTACTGCAGTGTAATCCACATTCACTTACTTAAAATGAGAGGTCTGAGATTAAAATTTGCTACTCAAATGTACACATTTTAAAACTGAACAAATACAACCAAATTGTGTTAAGTGCTTTTATCAATTTATACTACCACTGATAGCATTTGAGACTACGTACTTTCTCAAAACTTGCTTTCTAAGTTTTGAAAATCTAATGGATGAAAAATATTCCTTTAATAATTTATGTATCATTGGTTAAATAAGATTGAGCATCTTTTCACACATTTATTGGCCCCCAAATTTGATAAAACTACCAGTACAAAATAGTCTGCCCCTTACTCTACAGGGTGTAAGAATCTTTTTTTTTTTTTAAAGATTTTATTTATTTATTTGACAGAGATCACAAGTAGGCAGAGAGGCAGACAGAGAGAGAGGGGGATGCCGGCTCCCTGCCAAGCAGAGAGCCTGACGTGGGGCTCAATCCCAGGACCCTGAGATCATGACCTGAGCCGAAGGCAGAGGCTCTAATCCACCAAGCCACACAGGCGCCCCAGGGTGTAAGAATCTTTATACCAATTTACAGTTCTAATTCTCTGTTAAACGGCTAAGGAATATTTCCCCCAATGTTAACACTTGCTTAAAGTACATTAGTATTTGGAAGTTTACTTTTACATTTAATTTGAAAATTTAATCAACCTGAAGCTTTAATTTTTATTTATGATACAAAGAACAGAACTAAATTTTTTCCAGAGTATTTGTAGAACAGTTTGGTCTTTTCCCACAAATTGGTACTGTCAAAGTCATAATAAATTAATAAACAAACATGGATCTACAGTTGAACCAAACTTTACTCCACTGATGAATTCAGCCATTCCTGTGTCCAAATTATATTAAATCCATTATTATAGCTTTTACTTTCAGTTAGTTATCTGTTAGAGGACTACAACCACCTTCGTAGCTCGTTTACTTAAAATAAGTATCTGGGGAGGCACCTGGGTGGCTCAGCTAGAAAAGCATGCAACTCCTGATCTCAGGGTTGTGAGTTCGAGTCCCACACTGGGGATAGAGATTATTTAAATAAACTTTAAATAAATAAATAAGTAAGTAAAAATATCTGGAGGCACTCGGCTGGCTCAGTCAGTAGAGCATATGATTCTTGATCGTGGGTTTTAAGTTCAAGCCCCACACTGGGTACAGAGATTACTTAATAAAATCTTTAAAAAAAGAGAGAGAGAGAGATGATTGTGTGGCTCCGTCAGCTAAGCATCTGACTCTTGTGATCAAGACACCCATCGGGCTCTGCACTTAGCACAGAGTCTGCTGAAGAGTCTTCTCTCTCCCTTATCCCTCTGCCCCCCAAAACACTTGCACTTTCACCTTCTAAAACAAACAAATAAATCTTTAAAAAGAAAAATAAAAAAACAACACCTGAAAGATGTATATTGTAATCCCTACAGCAACCACTAAGAAAAAAGAGGTAAAAATCAAATAGAGAATATGAAAATCTACATAACAGAACACAGAACAGTGGTTGCCAGGATATAGGAGGAAGGAAATAATCTACACTAACCCCCAGTAAGTATGGGGTTTCTTTTCAGGGGGATGGAAATGTTCTAGAATTAAGAGGTAGTGATTGTACAACATAATGAATACACTGAAAAAAAACCACTGGAGTGACTAAAATATACTTTAACTGGTGAATTTTATGCTATGTGAAGAATATCTCAATTAGAACTAGGCTATATAAAAAAGGAAGTCATAGAAGTTCCAAAATAAGAGAAAAGCAAGGGCGCCTGGGTGGGTCAGTTGGTTAGGCATCTGCCTTCAGCTCAGACCATAATCCCGGTGTCCTGAGATAGAGCCCTGTTTCAGGCTACCTGCTCAGCAGAGATTCTGCTTCTCCCTCTCCCTCTGCCCTTCCCCACTCCGACTCAGGCACTTTCTCTCTCAAATAAATAAATAAAATATTAAAAAAAAAAAAAAGGGAAGAAGAAGAAAAGCAAACACAGAAGCCAGAATAGAACAGCAAAAGTAGTGGATTAAAACAAAAGAAGGGAGGAGATACAAGAGGCACAAACAGAAAAAAAAAATCATAATGGCAGACTTAAGCCCAACCACATCAATAGTTCTGTTATACCTCAGTGGACCACATACTCCAACTAAAAACAAAAAAATGTGTATTGGGGTGGGGGGGCAAATCTCAACAATATGCTGTTTAAAATCGACATGCTTTACATAATCAAAGTGAAAGTAACAGGAGGCAAGAGAAATGGAAGTCGGAAATCTAACGTGTAGGAACAAAGCTTGTGTAATTTACAAAACTACTCTACCGGAGTCCAGTGCAGTGGAGACTAATTAAAAAAAAAACTAGAAATAAAGAAAAGGGTGTGGTGTGATGAGGATTTATTATCATCAGAGAAACCTGGCCTTTAAGACAAGCACTACTGTGGCCCATAGACACACATGACATAAGAGTCAATTCATCAGGACATGATGATCCTAAGTGCATATGCCCTTAAAGAGCAGAACTTCAAAGCACAGGAAGAAAATACATAAAGAAAAAATATTCACAGGAATCAGGGAAAAAAATAAACAAATCCACAAATATAGTTAAAAGGGTCTAACATTCTCCTCCCAATAACTGATTTAAATAGGTTAAAAAGTAAACAGATAATATACCACCTTCTCATCTGTATATTGACTCTATTGGGATTTAAAAACCATTTATTTCAAGGGTGCTTGGGTGGCTCAGTCGTTAAGCATCGCCTTCAGCTCAGGTCAGGATCCTAGGGTCCTGGGATTGAGCCCCGCATCAGGCTCCCTGCTCGGCAGGAAGCCTGCCTCTCCCTCTCCCACTCCCCCTACTTCTGTTCCCCCTCTCAGTGAGTGTTTTTCTGTCAAATAAATAAATAAAGATCTTTAAAAAAATAATAAAGAAAACATTTATTTCAAAGCATTGCTCAATTTAGAGAATGTTTCTTTCTTTCCCTCCTTCTCTCCCTCCCTCTTTCTCTCTCTTTCTGAGTAGGCTCTATGCCCACTGTGGGGCTTGAATCACAACCCTGAGATCAAGCATCACCTGCTCAACTATCTGTCCCAGCAAGGAGCCCCATAAGAGAGCTTTTTGGTCAGTGTTTTTCTCAATAAGCAGCAAAAGGACACAAAAAGACTGTGAAAGAGGTAATTTCATAAACATTTTCAACTTTGAAAATTGGGAACTAGTGGCAGAGAGCAAGAAATGATTCATCCCATGGCAATGCTATGAGTGATTAAATCACATCTAATACTCTCACAGTCCAGGCAGAAGAATACAAACCATTTTTTGGAAGCACCACTTCCTCTATGTTGGGTACCGGTGTTGGGTCTTCCATGTCCTTGGTAAGATCTTCTTGCTCATCTTCTTCTTTCTGACTTCTGCGCTTCCCATAAAGACTAGCTTGGCTAAAGCATATAATGTATAAAAATATAAATAAGGTGACTATAGCACTCACAGCAGACATTTCAGAGGCTTTACCCTCATTGTTAGAATCTATGTTCAGAATTGTTTTAAAAGACAAATAGAAATCAAATAAATTAGGTACATTCCCAAATTACATCTAGCCAGCCAGAAGGAAAATAAAAGTTATTGGGAGTAAGAAATTGGCCCAGAAATCCTACTATACAAATTGCAGACAGCATCCTAAAGGGGGCTTAAATTATGTAATAAAAGAACATCTGCTAAGGAAATATGGCACATATTTTATCTCACATCAACAATCACTTACGTAAGAAATTTTTGTAAAGATATGTACAACCGTATTTTCCTGGCTCTTTTATATCATCCAAATATTAAGAACTGCAAAGTAAAATCACTTAGGATGGTACCAATTCTGTTTGTGTGTGTGTAAAAACTGCCATTGCTCTTTCCTTCATTTAATTTAAAAACTAACACATTCCAGAAAGCAGATTAGGGTTCAAACAAGAATGGAAGGACTCCTTACCTTGAGGAATTATGGAAATTATCAACTATCTCAAACAATATGATGTGCCAGAAACAAATAGGGTACCAAGAAAATAAGACTTAAGATTGAAGGTGACAGTTAAGCTAAACATTGGAAACAATTCACCAAAAAGTAGACAATGTTTCAGGATAATGAGTATAGGCATAAAGGCTTAAGAAAAGAGATAACCTGCTCTGGGAAGGAACAGTCAGGAAGCAAATAAGTGAGGAGTAGAGAAAGAGCAGACAAAAATATATAGCGGGCCAGCCTGAGTCCTCATGCTGCTGAGTGATTAAGCAGAGTTCCCTTCTATGACGGACCAGATACTGGCATAGGTCAGAAACAGGTACACAGGTAAAAATATTTTTAAAATTTTGAATAAAAACTGCATAACAATTTTTCAAAAGCCTGTGAATCAAAAGGTGTTAGAGAGACAAAAATACCTAAAAAAGGAAGAAAAATGCAGGGAAGGTCAATAAAACATGAGTTAGGAAAACAAAGGTCAATGTTTTTTCATTAAAGGAAACTTAACAGGAAATTTGAATGCTCATTAGAAAAGAGACGTATTCAATTCAAGGATACGCATATATCTATTTCAGGAAATTCAATTTCGTGTGTTTTATACTCAGAGTAGGGGATAAGTGCCATCACTGTGAGCCTCCTGGACATCACATCTTGGTTTGGGGGCCACTAGTGTCCGGGCACTGGATCTCAGTCCCTACGTGGGAAGAAGGGTGCACTGATTTCAGGTCCAGGAACACTTGGAAAAGTTGTATGGCTTTCTTCACAGAGATATCAGGAAGCTCTGAATTTTCTCCACATCAACTGTAAGACTCAGATTAGAGATTTAAGAAATAAGGTTACTATCTGGGCACCTGAGTGGCTCAGTGGGTTAAAGCCTCTGCCTTCAGCTCAGGTCATGATCTCAGGGTCCTGGGAACGAGCCCCACATCAGGCTCTCTGCTCAGTAGGGAGCCTGCTTCCCCTCCTCTCTCTCTGCCTGCCTCTCTGCCTACTTGTGATCTCTGTCAAATAAATAAATAAAATCTTAAAAAAAAAAAAAAAAGAAATAAGGTTACTCTCACTAATCACTAAAGAAAAATCTATTTTTGTGTTTTCTACCATAATACATTGACTTCACAAAATAACAACATCCTTTTAGGACTATGACTGGCTCATTAATATAATCTATAAAACTTAAGAGTTTTTTAGCTTCCCTAACAGCTTTTTTACACAGTACACAACGCTTCAGATAACCCTACCCTTCAAGAAATTAACATGATTCTAGGGTGCCTGGGTGGCTCAGTGGGTTAAGCCTCTGCCTTTGGCTCGGGTTGTGATCTCGGCGTCTGGGATCAAGCCCCGCGTCGGGCTCTCTGCTCGGCAGGAGGCCTGCTCCCCCAGCCTACTTGTGATCTCTATCAAATAAATAAAATCTTTAAAAGAAAAGAGGGGCGCCTGGGTGGCTGAGTGGGTTAAGCCTCTGCCTTTGGCTCAGGTCATGATCTTAGGGTCCTGGGATCGAGCCCCGCATCGAGCTCTCTGCTCAGCAGGGAGCATTCTTGCCCCTCTCCCTTAAAAAGCGAAAAAAGAAATAACATGATTCTGACGAATAACAGACCTATACCCCTGAGACAAATAATACATTATATGTTAATTTTAAAAATTTAAAAAAAAAAAAAAAGAAATAACATGATTCGAGGCATGTTCTGGGTATAAAAAACACTAATCTGGCTATAGGAAAAATTCAATAAAAGGAAGCTAAAGGAGAGAAGATGACAAATAAATCTCTACAGTCCAGTCAACAGCCAGAAATTTAACAAATTTCCAGTTGCAGGAAAAGAAGAAATTTTGCATCTGTCATTTTCTAAGACTAAACTTAACCTCTTTGAAATTAAATTATAAAAAATTTCTGGGCAAGACAAGCTAAGCAAGCCAGGAATTAAGTATCTATTTAATATATAATAATAAATGTTAAGTATTCTTGTCATTTATTAAGTACCTACTTCTGGCCAGACACTGTAAGGCAGGTCTCGAGTCTCACTTGATCCCCACAACAACCTATTCACCAGAAATCAGAATCCCCGCTCAAGTAAGAGTCACTAATGCACAAGTGTGAGGCCCTGAACAAGGCACTCTGCTAAACATGCAACAGGACAGGTTCATTTCCTCTACGAGTCATTCTGATCCCAAATGGGACCGGTGGTAAAATCAGAGAAAGAGACACTAACTATGGTGAATTTAATTTCTTAAATTCCTTACCAGCCACACTGCTCAATACATAATTAGACAGAGAAAAGACTGGATTCGGGGTGCCTGAATATCAGATGGCCAACTCAGAAAGGAGATGAAGAAAAGGAAAGGAAAAATAGCGGAAGAGAAAAGAAGGATGAAGGGCCAAATAATCCATCCACCCTCAGACCTTGCTGAAGATGATGGAACAGAGCTGAAAGGATATAGTCACGGGAAGCCGAGAGTCCAGCTTAGAATCTTGACTCCAAGGAAAAATCTCTATGTGACCTTGCAAGAGTTACCCCCCTATTCTGAACCTCAATCTCTATTTCTTAAAATAAAGATGCTTATGATACTTCAAAAATCCCTTTCAGTTTTAAGATTCTGTACATGGTTTCCACTCTCACTAAGCTGGAGCCAAAATTCCAATCCAGAAGGCAAAGATTCATCCCCTTCCCATGGCTAGGCCAGAGAGAGAAAAAATAGTTTCTCTCAGAATTTGACCACAGGGAAAAAAAAAAAAAAAAGAATTTGACCACAGAATTGGGAGTGGATATATTTTAAATACAGATTAGATATCACAGTATGTTTATGTGGAACACAGAGTTAAATATGTGTGTGTGTGTGTGTGTGTGTGTGTGTGAGAGAGAGAGAGAGAGAGAGAGAGAGAGAGAGTATTATTCAGCCATAAAAAAAGAAAGGAATTCTGCTACTTGGGACAACATAGATAAACCTTGAGGCCATTTTGCTAGGTGGAATAACAGAGAAAAATGTATGATCTCTTTTATGCGGAATCCAAAAAAGAAAACAAAATGAAAAACACAAATTCACAGAGGGAACACACTGGTGGCTGCCAAAGGCAGGCACTGGGGGAGAACGGAAAAGTTGGTATAAGGTATAAACTTCCAGTTATAAAATAAATAAACCCTAGAGGTGTAATACAACATGGTGCCTACAGGTAACACAGGATCGTGCATTTGAAACTTGCTAGGAGAGCAGATCTTAGAAGGTCTCATCACAAGAAAAAAATTGTTACTATGTGTGGTGCTGGATATTGCCAGATTTACTGTGATTATTTCACTATTCATATCTACTTAAAAGATTGTATGCACGGTGCCTTAGGATAAATACAAGAGAGGATGGGCCATCAGATAACATCTGACAAGACAAGCTACCAGAGCAAAGACATCTACCAAGTCAACGTGAGACAACTAACTTCCTTTCAGCGAAACTTCTGGTATAAATGTAAAAATCTTGAATGCCCTCTGCAGTTTGTTTTAATGCCTCTGAATCATGCTGCAGTTCTTACCCTTTCTTTCCACTCTTCTTCCGGGATTCTGCGGGTGTAGGAGGCGGAGGGGAAGGCGAATGTTTCCTCTTTCGAGCATTAGCTGATGCTTTCCTATCTCTCCTCTCTGGACTTCTGACTGGCTAGGAAGAAGTAAATGGAAATAAATATCAGCCAGCTTTTCTGACTCCTCAGTTTCTACAAACCCTTGTCCAAAGATGAGCTTCACAAAGATAATACCAGAGCATCCTAGACCACCAGCAGTCAAGATTCTCTGACCTTCCATGTGATGTACCACCAATGGAAATATCAGAACCATCCCACCGGTATTCACACTGTGCTACAAAACAGACAACTAAAAACCATTCCTGTTCACCTTCTGCTTCCAGATGGGAAAAGCATTTTCAACAACTACTAGAAAATACAAAACATATGCTATTTAATTACTGAAATACAAATGATGACTGAGCGAGCTTGGAAAAGTGCATCAGAAACGAGTCCTGACACATCAGTAAAAGGGACAGAGAAAACTTTAGGACACAAAAGACACTAAACAGGATTGTAATTTATGACTTAAAAGTCAATCTTTTTTTTTTTTAATTTTTCTGAGTTGTATCTTTTTTTTTATTTTATTTTTTATAAACATATAATTTATTTTTATCCCCAGGGGTACAGGTCTGTGAATCGCCAGGTTTACACACTTCACAGCACTCACCATAGCACATACCCTCCCCAATGTCCATAACCCCACCCCCCCTCTCCCAACCCCCTCCCTCCATCAACCCTCAGTTTGTTTTGTAAGATTGAGAGTCACTTATGGTTTGTCTCCCTCCCAATCCCATCTTGTTTCATTTACTCTTCTCCTACCCCCTTAATCCCCCATGTTGCGTCTCCTCTCCCTCATATCAGGGAGATCATATGATAGTTGTCTTTCTCCGACTGACTTATTTCGCTAAGCATGATACCCTCTAGTTCCATCCACGTCGTTGCAAATGGCAAGATTCCATTTCTTTTGATGGCTGCATAGTATTCCATTGTGTATATATACCACATCTTCTTTATCCATTCGTCTGTTGATGGACATCTAGGTTCTTTCCATAGTTTGGCTATTGTAGACATTGCTGCTATAAATATTTGGGTGCACGTGCCCCTTTGGATCACTACGTTTGTATCTTAAAAGTCAATCTTAATAGAAGCACAAATATCCCTATTTGCAGATGGCATGATCTTTTATAAAGATAACCCTAAGGAATCTGCCAAAAAACTAGCAGAGCTAATGAGTTCAGCAGTTGCAGGATACACACTGAAATATGAAAGTCAACCTGTAGATGATAATTATGGATTTAATAAAATAGACAATAAAGAATTAACACCTAAAATGATCCAAAGTATTGTACCAGAGGTGCCAAAATAAAAAAAATCAGAGATTAAAACATTAATTAAACATTCATCATCTCTGGTACCCTCATACTCCTTACAACTGTTTCTTTTCAGAAGCTCGGTAGCATAAAATTGGAAATATGAGTCATCTTACAAGCCTATACACGAAGTTTTAAAGAAAATCTAAACTGTTCACACTGTACAGTAAGTCTGAAGTTAAACTTTTAAAAAGGGGTATTAAATGCATTTTTATAGAATCGTCCTAAAAGTAAGTGAATAATACAAAAGCCATCTAAATCTGAACAGAGATGGCTATGGAAAGGCCTCTTTAATAATGTGATAGAGAAGTTAGAATATGCCTAATGACAAAAAAGATTGGTTGGCACTGCATTAAGGGAAAGCAAATATGTAAGCATATGGGGGTGGCGCTGAATAAAAAATAAACTTCAAGTCCAATTCCACAGCAAATAAGGACCAATTAAAAATGAAAGGATATGAAAAAGACCCAGTTTTAAAATAATTTTCTTAAAAATAAATAACACACATTGTGTACCCAAGAGTTTTAGTTTAAAAAGTCTCAGAGCTGAAAACAGATAAGAAAGAATGGTATGGGGTGCCTGGGTGCCTCAGTGGGTTAAAGCCTCTGCCTTTGGCTCAGGTCATGATCTCAGGGTCCTGGGATGAAGCCCGATATTGGGCTCGCTGCTCAGCAGGAGCCTGCTTCCCCCCACCCTGACCACTTGTGATCTCTTGTCTGTCAAATAAATAAATAAAATCTTTAAAAAAAAAAAAAAAGGTACATTCTAAGTGAATAGTTAAAAGTATTTCTGTCTCAGAAATTTTTCAAAGAACTACAATACAAAGCAAAAAGCAAAAACCTGATGTGTTCCCAGTGAAAGGGAAGAAGAATCTTTCCTAAACAGTCACCAGCCAACACCAACACATCTAAGCCTTCTTCTCAGACTCCTTTCCCTCTGGGTGACACACCTACCTTTGCCGGCTGTGGCTTCTCAGGAACCATGTTAAAACTTCTGGTGGTTGGGCTTCTTAAAGGATTAAAGAGTAATAAATGCCACATCATCCCACCTTTAAAAAGGGCTGAACTCTCCCGTTGAGGCCTATACAATGTACTAACTACTGTGTGTACAGTAACAAAGCTATTAAAAAATATTAAGACAAAATTAGTTTTCCCTTGAAAAGCCAACAACTAAATTAAATTACCCCATAATAAATATTTGGCTCACAAAATTAAAATCAGACCTGGAAAACAAAATCACCTATACCGATGCCACACTGCATATGCCATTTTAAATCCTGATGACCCTCTAAGATCGTCAGGCCTGTTCTTTGGGAATGCCAGCCCCTGAGATGGCTATATGGCCATTTGGTAACTTTTCCATATACCTCACGAGTGACACACCTTGGACTGTATGTCAGAGCTTATTAGTGAAGATCTGACAACATTGAGGTCCAGAAAGAAGAAACATCAAGTGGAGAAAAATGATGCCAAACCAAATACCTCTTCATTCTTTGTTGAAATTCGCTGACGAAAGCTCACGGGCTTCCTGTTCTCATCCACCTCATAATCCTCCTCATTCATCCATTCATTGAAAACATCAGTGTCCAAAATCCATTTCGCATGAACCTAAAACCACATTCAATCACGTGTATCCATATAAATAGCAAACCATTACAGTTTTTAAAGTGTTCAAAATTAAAGGAGCTGATTTATTATTCTCAAATTAAAGCCTCAATTGCATAAAAGTTTAAAAACATGACACTAAGGGTGCCTGAATAGCTTAGTCGCTTAAACTTCAGACTCTTGGTTTCGGCTCAGGTCATGATCTCGGAGTCCTGGAATCAAGTCCTGCGTGAGGCCTCGGAGCTCAGTGCAAAGTCTACTTGTCATGCCCTGACCCCACCCCCTTCCCACCCCCGTCACTTGCTCTCGAGCACGCAAGTACTCTCTCACTCTCTAACAAATAAATAAATAAAAACTAAATATATATATATATTAAAAACCCAACCATGAGACTATTAAAGTCCTGTTAATGTCAACTTAACCATTTCTAATTTTTATTCCATGTTACTGCATATAGTAAGAAAGCATCATCGGTTTTTGCAAAGACTGAGGTTTTTATAACTAAGACCCTTAAATTTGATAATCATATCATTCGTTTTTATTTCAGCTTTATCTAAGTATAACTGTAAAATAAAGTTCTAAGATATTCAAAGTCTACATCATGATGATTTGATATTGAGAAAGGATCCTCCCATCTAGTTAACTGGCACATCCATCACCATACCTACTTAACTTAAGTGTGAGAACATTTAAGTTCTGTTCTCTTAGCAAATTCCAATTATACAATGCAGTGTCATCAACTCTAATCACCATGTTTCACATTAGATCTTCAGACAATTCCCCCACCTGCAAGTTGGTGCCTTTTTACCAACTTCTTACTTCTCCTAGCTCTCCTCATTGGCAACCGTTTCTCTACCGATTTCTAGGCTTTTTTTTTTCTTTTCTTTTCTTAAAGATTCCATATAAAAGCAGTATCATGCAGGATTTATCCCTCTCCATTTGGCTTATTTCACTAATCATTTCATCTTTATCCTGATGAAAACCACTGAAAAAACATTCAACAGCAATAGGCCACACAAAGCAATAGGCCTAGTCCATTGCTCTAGGCAGGAAGAATGTCTCCCTTCACGCATTCAACAAAATTCGAAGGAATGATGAACAAGGACATTTACACAGACCTATCATCAGACCTATCACCTCACCCTGTCAAGTACGCAGGTGCTCTGCAGAAACCTTTCAGGGATAGCAACAGTTGGGGAGTGAAAAATTGAGAGTCAGATTCAGGATTCTTCTAAGCCCTTTACATGGCAACTTCTCTTGCTTTTTTGTTAATGTTTCTGAGTAGGAATTTTAAAAAATGATGGGTTCTCTGAATGTTGTATAGATACAGATGTAGATATAGATATTGAAACCACAGACCTAGCCTATATATTCCTATTATCCAACAGAATTTTTCAAAGGCCGTACACTAGAACTTAGGACTAGACAATCCTTTCCTGCATAGATAAATAGGAAACAATTTCAGCACCAATATAATTAAGGATTAAGTTACTGGCCACTGAAAAATTAGAACTCCATAAACCCACACTGGTTAACAGAGGAATAAAAAAATTAAATGAGAGGAAAGGAAGGATTCTTGCTTATACAACTCTGAAAGCCAACTTGTAATTGTGGAGGCAAGACTGGAATGGAAAATTATCACTGTGCAATCATCAAAGAAAAGATTGGTTCAGGCAAGAATTTCAAGTGGATGCTAAATCTGGGCAACGGATAGAGGATTTTGATGAGAAGCAGGATATCTGTATGGCCTAAAAGAATCTCTTACAGATTGCTTATAAATTACAAGTGGGGGAAAAAAAAGGAACTATATAGTAGAGCCAAGAGAACACACCATAACTGGGTAACAGCATCACCAACAAGCAGCAGATGGACACAACATGCTTCCCACTATGACGCCCTGAGGACGACACAACATCACTTATGCAATATTCTGACTAGAATGCATAATCTGATTTAACCATGAAAAAAGATCATAATTCCAAATGAAAAACATCCCTTTCAAATTCAAAAATGTCGAAAGAGGCAAGGAAGCACTGGGTAACATTTCAGATTAAGGGAAACCAAAGAGACAGGACATTTGAATACAACAGCTGCTGTTCAACAGTATTCTGTAATAGAAAAAATGCTACGAAAAACATTAATGGGTCTTGTGGCAAAACTGGAATACAGATAGTAGTTTACAATATTGGGTCAATGTTAAATTTTACTGAAGTTGGTAACTGCAAAGTGCTTATGAACGAGACTCCCTTATTCTTAGGAAACAGAAACTTATGTTTTAGACTAAAGACCATAGTTTAGGGACGCCTGGGTGGCTCAGTTGGTTAAGCAGCTGCCTTGGGCTCAGGTCATGATCCCAGCGTCCTGGGATCGAGTCCCACATCGGGCTCCTTGCTCGGCAGGGAGCCTACTTCTACCTCTGCTTCTGTCTGCCATTCTGTCTGCCTGTGCTCGCTCTCTCTCCTTCTTTCTCTGACAAATAAATATATAAAATCTTTAAAAAAAAATTATAGACTAAAGACCATAGTATATACATCTTTATCTTAAAAGGTTAAGAATAAAAGCTGTAAATATATAAACACATGGAATAAAAGTGATAAATCAAAATGAGAGTAAAATGTAAACAACAGGAAAATCTGGATAAAGGGTATACAGGTGTGCCACCTACTATTCTGATTCTTGCAAGTTAAGTTTGAAATTATTTCCAAATAAAAAAGGTTTCAAAAAAGTCTAATTTTTGTTAATTCCATTTTCCTCATATGAAATTTGAAGCTTGAAGCTAAGTCTTTCTGAAGGTCACAGAATTCAAAATGGGGTGAATCAGGTCTCACATCTAATATTTTGATTCAATTTAAGTGCTCAGTATACTACATAAGGCAGTCAATAAAAACTATGTATAATTACCACTGCTCATGGAAAAGATGAGAGCTCCCTGCAGAAATACTGAATCCAGGACTAGGATATGGAATTACAAAAAGACTTTGGAACATCTCTTTGTCCCAAAAATAGGAAGTATGCATAAATGAATCAAGTAATACCAAAAGGTCACAGGAGACAACTTAAAGGAGTTTCCACTGGCCAAAAGGTGGACAATTCATCAGTAAGAAGAATGGTGATCGTGTCACTCCTCCACAGCACAACACACAGATACTACAGGCACATGTAGAGGGAGAAAGGAAAGCTCATTCCCACTGCAAAATGTCAATTACAGATGGAATGGATAGAGTGAGGAAACCACTAGTAGTAACTACTTTAGCCAGGAAGAAATTATTAATGGGTGAGCATTAATAATTTTGGGACACAAATTTAATGAAGAAAAGGATATTCGGGGCACCTGGGTGGCTCAGTGGGTTAAGCCTCTGCCTTCGGCTCAGGTCATGATCTCAGGGTCCTGGGATCGAGCCCCACATCGGGCTCTCTGCTCAGCAGGGAGCCTGCTTCCTCCTCTCTCTCTCTGCCTGCCTCTCTGCCTACTTGTGATCTCTCTTATCAAATAAATAAATAAAATCTTTAAAAAAAAAAAAAAGAAAAGGATATTCATATAATCTCAAAATATTTCTTTGTAACGTATTTTTAATTTCAATGAGAAAAATGGTAATGCTACAATGGGAAAACCAGGCAGACAGTACCTTAACAAACATCAGCCATAATGGGAAAAATTGAAATACATGCCTCCTGATATGAGGCACTGAGAAGTAATTACTCAAAATCACTTAAGCAGTTTTGCAGCCTAAAGTGCATAGTTTAAATATAATAATTAGGAAATACTCACGCAAACTCAAATTCAAAGACATTCTAAAGGGGCCCCCCTTTAGGGGCTCAGTAGGTTAAGCATCTGCCTTCAGTTCAGGTCATGATCCCAGGATCCTGGGATCGAGACCCTCATTGGGTTCCCTACTCCGCGGAGAGCCTTTTTCTCTCTCCCTCTCTGTCTGCCGCTCCCCGCTTGTGCTCGCTCTCTGATAGATCAATAAAATCTTTTAAATAAAAATTCCTTTACCAAAAAAAAGGCACTCTAAAACAAACATCAAAATCTAACCTATACCTTTCAAAAATGCCAGAATCACAGAAGAAAAAGAAAGGCTGAAAGTTCCACATTAGGGTACACTAAACAGATCTGACAACTAAATGCAGTGTGTGCTCCTGAAACAGATCCTGACCAGGAAAGAGACTTAATATCAAACTTACATCACTGGGACAATTGGTGTAAATGGAATACGAGCTCTGTATCAGGTATTAATATTGTTTCAAGCATAAAATCCTGAAATTATTAACAACAGGGGAACCTGGAAGAAGTGTATAAAGTCGCACTTTGTTTTATATTGTTCTGGCAACTTTCAGAATTATTTCCACGTTAAACGTCGAAAAATCAGAGTTGATGCATGGACTCTTACCACTGTAATAGAAATGACTACTGAGGGCTGTTTCATCATAAGAGGCACGCAGGCACAGCTTCCAGCCTTCCTCAGTGACACCACCGATGTTCCACTGCACTTCTCCTGCTCCTTTCTCAACCACCCTAAACCACAATGTAACTGGACTCTGGGGTCTCCTCAAACTCCACTGCAAACATTTCTGCTAATACCTAGATAATGAGTTATCTGTGGTCATGGACAGCTTAAAAGGATGACAAGAAAAGAAGATCCTTATTCTGTATTTCTTAAAGCACTGTTGTAGAAAAAAGCTGAGAAAAACTACTATGTTATATAAGAATAAATTTTTTTTTAAAAAGGATTTCTCACCTTCCACGGCTTTTCTGGAATTGGTGGATCTTCAATTTCCGCATCAACATCATTACTATGGACCCAAGTATCATAGCTGCAAAGGAAATGAAAAAAGGAAAAACAGGTTAGAAGCCAAATTCATTCACTAAAAAGACCTTTTATAAAAAGGTAAAACTATATTTTAAAAATACTTTTAGGATCAAGAAATAGCAGTATCTCACATACTTTTGTCTCTGCCACTCTGACAAGAAAACTCTTCTGTAGAGGTCTATAGTGATCCCGACACTGTTAAGTCCAAAGTTCAAGCCTCAGTGTGCAGAATTTTAATGAGGAGATGGCTCTCTCCTCAGAGCATTTCCCTCACTTGGCCTCCAAGACAGCACTATCATCTGCTGTTTCTTCTAGCCACCAGCCTTTCCCCAGCCTGCATGGCCAGTTTCTCGTCTTCTCCCAAACCTCTTCAATACTGGAAGGCCCCAGGTTTGGTTTGCAAACAATCCTCTTGTCTACTCATTCTCTTGATCTCATGCAGCTTCAAATATATACTCATCTGTCCTCTTCTCTGAATGCTGGACTCAGGCATCCAAATGCCAAATCCATATATCCCCCTACATGTTCAAAAAGGCTTTCAAAACTAACACTCAAAATTCAACAAGCAATTCCATCCTTATCCCAAAAATACACCCTAGCCAATCATACCCATCTAAGTAAATGCCAACTCCGTCTTTCCAAAAATGGAGAATTTGTTCTAGCCAAAATCTCTGGAGACATCCCTGACTTCACTCTCAATCACATCCTACAATCCAACCATTAACGCCTTCTACAGTTTATTCCATCTTCAAAATATACCCAGAATCTACTTCTCACCCTTCTACTTATACCCAAAGTCCAAGTCCATTTATCACAAAGCAACCAAAGTGATCCTTTTGTTTGCTTTGTTTTGTTTTTCAAGATTTTATTTATTTGACAGAGAGAGAGACACAACGAGAGAGAGAGAGAGAGCACAAGCAGGGGGAGCAGCAGGCAGAGGGAGAAGCAGGCTTCCCGCCTGAGCAGGGAGCCCAATCCTGGGCTTTATCTCAGGACCCTGGGATCATGACCTGAGCTGAAGGCAGACACTTAATGACTGAGCCACCCAGGCGCCACTAAAGTGATCCTTTTGAAAATCAAGTCTGTCCATATTATGATTACTCAAAACCTTCCAACAACTCCCACCTCACTCAAAGAGCCAGAATCCTTATAGTGGATTGCCAAGGCCTCAGGAGCTAGTCCTATGACTGCCACTCCGCCCCATCTCCTAATCCTCTCCCCTCACTTACGTTTCAGTCGAGCTACATGGGCTCCACGGCATTCTTAAAAAATGCCACAAAGTGGCCACTTCAAGCCCTTTATAGAGATTCTTTGCTACCCAGATATTATATGGCCCACCCTTCATATAGTCACACCTCTTTGCTCAAAGGTTCTCTCTTTGCACCCCCCGCCCCTAGCTCCTCCACAATTTTGAGGTAAGCATGACATTACCTACCAAACTGAAACTGTCAATGCTACTATACTGGCCAATTAATTATTGTAGAAGCAAGGAATATCTAAGTTAAATACAAGTATGGTAACAAGCACTGGCTCCCTGCAGCCACTACTCAGAAGTCAGTTCAAAAGCATTTGGAACAAGCACAGCTCTATATATGTCTATTAATAGCACTCTGGTAAGTTTTCTAGGAACACTTAAAACATGAGCTGGAGAAAAAAAGATCCTTTGCTAAGTTATAAATTGTATCAGGTAAAGGTAACAATGGTGAGGGAGCAACTGAAAACTTTACATTCTCTAAAATTCTTGAGAAAAAATGTCACAGAAGTAGAAGTGAGAGCCGAACTCCCCCTCACTCTGGGTTTCACATTCTGCACTTCAGTTACTTGCAGTCAAATGTGGTTGAAAGCAGATGGTCCTCCTTCTGGCCGCAGAAGCCCTAATGCAACATCACAGGGCCCGCACCACTCACCTCACTTCATCACCACACAGGCATTTTATCATCTCACGTCATCACAAGAAGGGTGAGTACAGTACAATAAAGTATTTTAAGAGAGAGACCACATTCACCATAACTTCCCTTAAACTATAACGTTGCAACTGTTCTATTTTATTTTTAGTTATTGCTGTTCATCTTACTGTGCCTAATTAATAAATTTTATCACAGATATGTAGGTATAGGAAAAAATATAGTACACATAGGGTTCAGTACTATCCGTGGTTTCAGGCATACACTGGGGGTCTTTAAAATGAATCCCTCATAGATGAAGGGTGTGTGGGGTCTGCTATATAGTTAATAAAGAATGTGAACAAGGCCTTGAGAAGACAAGACTCAAACCAGCCCCTGTATCTTTTCTGCAACATAAAGAAAAGCTTAGCAAACAGGCTAACATGTTTTTACTGTGTTATTTTAAAATTTATTTCAACTGTATACTTAAGAAGCTAGTCATTATAAATCTGAGTTTCCATCTAAATGTTTCAAAGGGCAAACTCATTTCCTTTAAGAGTTTCTATAATATTGAAAGGCTTGCTTAATAGTGCCAAGGACTGAGGCACCTGGGTGGCTCAGTGGGTTAAGCCTCTGCCTTCGGCTCAGGTCATGATCTCAGGGTCCTGGGATCGAGCCCCACGTCAGGCTCTCTGCTCAGCGGGGAGCCTGCTTCTCCCCCTCTCTCTGCCTACCTCTTTGCCTACTTGTGATCTCTCTCTCTGTGTCAAATAAATAAATAAAAAACATTAAAAAAAAATAGTGCCAAGGACTACTTGAAGTCTCAAGACTAGAGATGTTTTATAGAAAGCACTCATTTAAATATTATTTTAAAATCTGTTAGTTCACTTAAAGTAATGAACTATAGGGGTGCCTTGGTGGCTCAGTCCTTAAGCGTCTGCCTTTGGCTTGGGTCATGACCCCAGGGTCCTGGGATCGAGCCCAGCACTGGGCTCCCTGCTTAGCAGGAAGCCTGCTTCTCCCTCTCCCAGAACTCCAGCTTATGTTCCCTCTCTTGCTGTGTCTCTGTCAAATAAATAAATAAAATCTTTAAAAACAAAACAAAAAATAAAAATAAAAAAAAATAACCAATTACGGCAAGCTGATTCAATTCTAATTAACTCAGCCTGTATGAAAACTGTGCATATAATCTTAAAATTCTGAACATATCTAAAGACACAGTTTCTTCTTTAAAAAATATGTTGGTATTATGCTACATGAAATAATCAGAGAAAGACAATTATCATATGATCTCACTTGTATGTGGAATTTAAGAAACAAAACAGGATCACAGGGGAAGAGAAGAAAAAATAAAACAAGAAAATCAGGGAGGGAGACAAACCGTAAGAGACTTTTAATCATAGGAACAAACTGAGGGTTGCTGGAGAGGAGGGAGCTGGGGGCATGGGGTAACTGGGTGATAGACATTAATGAAGGCATGTAATGTAATGAGCACTGGATATTATATAAGACTGATGAATCACTGAACTCTACCCCAGAAAACAATAATACAATATGTTAATTAACTGAATTTTAATTAAAAAAAAAAATCTTTACAGGGGTGCCTGGGTAGCCCAGTTAGTTAAGCCTCTGACTCTTGGTTTCAGATCAGGTCACAATTTCAGGTTATGAACTCTAGCCCCGTGTCAGGCTCTGCACTCACTGTGGAGTCTGCTTGAGATTATCCTCGTCTGTCCCTCCCCTGACTCTTTTTCTCTCTCTCTCTCGCTCATATAAATAAATAAACCTTTAAAAAAATGTAAATCCTTGGGTGCCTGGGTCACACAGTCGGTTAAGTGTCCGCCTTCGGCTCAGATCATGATCCCAGGGTCCTGGGATCAAGCTCCACATTGGGCTCTCTGCTCGGCAGGGACCCTGCTTCTCCCCCTCCCTCTACCTCCTTATGCACTCTCTCTCTCTCTCTCTATCTCTCTGTGTCAAATAAATAAATAAAATCTTTCAAAAGATAGAGAAATAAATAAATAAATGTCTTTACAAGTAAAATATACTCAAATAGACGAACTTAAAAAGAGCACACACGGGACATTATGGTTCATCATTAGAAGACAAACACACATCTACACCCTCCATAAACTGAGATAGACTCTGAGCAACTCCAGATCCAACTACCAATTTAAAGGAAATACAAAGAATGGAGAAACATGTTCAAATATACCACAGTGATGTCATTAAAAAAAAGAAGAAGAAGAAGGGGCCCTGAGTGCCTCAGTGGGTTGAGCCTCTGCCTTCGGCTTGGGTCATGATCTCAGGGTCCTGGGATCAGGCTCCCTGCTCAGTGGGGAGCCTGTTTCCCTCTCTCTCTGCCTGTTGCTCTGCCTACTTGCGATCTCTCTCTGTGTCAAATAAATAAATAAAATCTTTTAAAAAGGAAGAAGAAGAAAAACCCACATTGTGGTAAACTCTACAGGACAAAGACCCTGATTTCTTAAATAATACAATGCATGTGGTCAGGTGGGTAGGGAAGACAGAGAACCTAGACACTGAAATCAATTAATCACAAAATGTGGTTGAATTCTACTTCCAACAAATATCAATTTATAAAATAATCATATGCATCACTTATATGACAACACTGACTAGCTAGATGATATAAAGAAATTTTGTTTTTAGATTTGACAATGATATTACCCTTACTACTTTTTTTTAAAGATTTTATTTATTTGACAGAGATCGCAAGTAGGCAGAGAGGCAGGCAGAGAGAGAGGAGGAAGCAGGCTCCCTGCCAAGCAGAGAGCCCAATGCGGGACTCAATCCCTGGACCCTGAAATCAGGATCTGAGCCGAAGGCAGAGGCTTAACCCACTGAGCCACCCCAGGCATCCCATACCCTTACTATTTTTTAAAAGAGGCCTTGTTTTTTAGAAATTCGCATTGAAATATTTATTATTAAAATGTTATGTTTGGGATTTGCTTCCAATAATATGAGAAGGCTAAAAGTGGATAGAGGTTTAGGTGAAAGAAGACTGATCTGAGATGGTCAGAATCTCCCCCACAGCTCCACTGTAGGTTTAAAAAGATGAAATTCACGGAAGGTTACCCAAATTTGTAAGTGTCCTACGTAGGCAAAGTATCAATTTTAAAAGTACCAACATTTTCACTAACGTCTAGTTCGCATTTGTAATATTATTTATCTATACTTAGAGAATGAAACACAGTATGAGTTATGATGATCTCAAAGTAATAACAACAATAGGGAAATAAACTTCTGCCAAGAAGAAAAATTCTGTTTTAGACATAAAATAATTCATTCCTAATAGTATGGCATGAAGATTTTTTGAAGAAACAAAATGAAACAGTCATAAAATACTAGAGAGACAAATTCCTTTCTTGAAGGAAACAAATCTAGATTAGCAGGCAAATATACTGAAGAGGTGTTTTGCCAAATGCAGCAAACATTATCAGTTTATTAAGATAAAGCCTTGGGACTTTGAATTGAATTCTATAACTTCAATAAGAAAAATCAGTAAGACTCAAAAAAGTGAAATCAAACACTGAAGCAAACAAAGTTGTCACTACTCAGAATATGAAACTATACATAAATAACTCTGGCTTATACTAAAAAAAAAAAAAATCTTTAAAGATCTCAGGACATGTCTACATTACCTGTCTGGGTAAAACCCCCAATGCACTAACACCTGCTTATCTTTTCTCATCACCGGTCTCAACCATTCTTCTGAAAGGGAAAAAGAAAATACTTTAGTCAAGCTAACAAAATAAATCAATAAACTATTATTTAGACTTAATTTCTACTTATAATTTTTCTTTTGCTTGTAAGCCCCCCAAAACATTTTCTGACAATTGAACATTTTACCTATCTTATTAAGGGAAAGTTTTCCACCCATGTATTCAGAATTCCTGAAGTGTAGGCCCATTATTCATTACTCTTGGCAAATCCAATTGTCCACTGTGGTAAAATATTACCTTCCCACCACCCCCCTGTCTACAATTCCATTCAAATCATAATCACGATATTCTTTACTACCACATTTCCAAGTAAATTCTCTGCTCCCTTTTCCTGTTAGGCTTTGGAATTACTATACATTTTTCAAGATGTAAGTCACGCTTCATATCCTTGATGAGAGTTTTACCATATACTCTTTCTCCTTTAAATTCAATTTCTCTGGTATCTTAGAGCACTTCACAGACTGCTACTTCAAGTTTTTACTGTTTTCCTTATTTTTTAATGGCATCCTACCTGTAAATTTAGCCCTGCCAACAATAGTGTAAGCAGTATGATCCTATCAGATATTTTTATTTTTAATTTCCTTACCAAAGATAGGTATAAATTTATACAAATTTATAGGATAATCCTTATTGATCTGAATCACAGTTGTATTATATCTACATTTTAGTACTTGTTAGGAGGTGTTTCTTTAGTAGTCTAAATTTAGCTTAGCAAACTTGTCTCTAGTGCGCAGAGGAAATTAATAAAGTAAGCCCCCTGAAACCCAAGAAACAGCAAAATAGAAAAACTTAAGCAAAACCAGCTAAGTAAAAGTGGCTTTTCATTGCCAATTTCAACAAGAAATCATCCCAGCTTCACTAACTAAAGGCATAAAAGCCCACACGCTTATGTTTTGCTTTGGTATTTGTTTTATTTGAAGTAGTCTCCACATCCAGTGTGAGGTTCAAACTCACCACCCAGAGATCAAGAGTTGTATGCTCTACTGACTGAGCAGCCAGATGCCCCCAGCCTGTGTTCTTTTTCTTTCTTCTTTTTTTTTTAATTCACTTGACAGACAGAGATCACAAGTAGGCAGAGAGAGGCAGGCAGAGAGAGAGAGGAGGAAGCAAAGCAGGCTCCCCACGGAGCAGAGAGCCCGATGTGGGGCTCGATCCCAGGACACTGGGATCATGACCTGAGCCGAAGGCAGAGGCTTCAACCCACTGAGCCACCCAGGCGCCCCTCTTTTTTCTTTTTTTTTTTTTTTTTTAAGATTTTATTTACTATTTGACAGACAGAGATCACAAGTAGGCAGAGGGGGGCAGGGAGCAGGCTCCCTGCTGAGCAGAGAGCCCAACGTGGGGCTCAATCCCAGGACCCTGAAAACATGGCCTAAGCCAAAGGCAGAGGCTTAACCCACTGAGCCACCCAGGCGCCCCCACTATGTTCTTTTTCAAGCATCCAACTGCTCACCTTAATATCTTGAGAGAAAGTGAACAGGAAGAAATCAAGCCCGGGTCCTTAACCTGATATCCCAAAATGGCCAAGGAAAGGAGGAAGAGCAAGATGGCAGAGGAGTAGGAGACCTAAATTTTGTCTGGTCCCAGGAATTCAGCTAGATGGTTATCAAACTATTCTGAACACCTACAAACAGGAGACCGAAGAAAATAATAGCAGCAATTCTATGAACAGAAAAGAGACCACTTCTGGAAGGTAGGATGTGTGAAGTGAATCCAAGATGATATTTGGGAAGACAGACCATGGCAGGGGTGGGGCGCGAGGATGGGGGACAGGGAAAGGATGGGACCCTCTGTCAGCTGGCTCCCGGCAAGTGACAGCAGTGGAGCACAACTCTTAGAAGTCGGCTCCACTGACACCATTTCAGTGGCTAAGCAGCGGGGTGGGGGTGGAATCCTCACTGGGACCATGTGGTCTCAGGACCCTCGGGGATCACAGAAAGACCAGGGGTGCCTGAATTGTGGCAGAGCTCCCAGGTATCAGAGCAGGGAAGCCGGCTGCAAAGACAGAGCCAAGGAGGAGGCTCTAAGCTCAGGGTTGCCATAAACCATGATCCACAGCACAGTCGGGCCACATCTCTTCAAGCAGGGACCCAACAAGGGGCAGATCCAGGGAGACCCGCCCATCCTCTACCAAGAGAAGCGGCACGGGAGCACACTGCAGGAATTGGCTGGGTTTGAAGACTCCAAATGGGGCCGTGCGTCAGAAGGAAATGCTCAGTGATAGGCTAGGTGAGCACGGAGCACCACCAAGGACCAGGGAGACAGGAATGACTGAATGCTCTTCTCTGAGGGCTCACTGAGGAGAGGGCCCCTGAGTTTTCAGCATCTCTGGGGCCAGAGTTGGGAGGTCAGCATTTTCATTCTCGTCCTCCAAAGCTGTACAGGAAGCTTTCAGGAAACAAAAGCTACCAAAAGCAAACCCGAACAGATTATTTAGCCTGGACGCCAGCAAGGGCAGTGCAATTCCACCCCAGGCAAAGACATTGGAGAATCACTGCGACAAACCCCTCCGCCAGAAGATCAGCAAGAACATCCAGGCAAGACCAAGCTCACCAATCAAAGAGAACTGCAAAACCCCAGCACTAGGGGAATGCAGCACATGGAATTCGTGGCTTTTTTCCCATGATTCTTTACTATTTCAAAGTTACATTTTTTAAAATTTTCTTTTTTTCTATTTCTATCGTTTTTGAATTTTCTTCTTTCGTTTTTCAACCAACATCTTATCAATTCCTGTTTAAAAATCTTTTTAAATTTTTATCTGTATGGTCATATTCCATCCTTCATCATATTTACCCTTACTTTTGTATATATATTTTCCTTTCTTTAAAATTTTGGGAGGCCAAAAACACCCCAAATCTAGTGTGGGCTCTGTTCTATTCACCAGTCTGATCATATTCTCCCCACCCCCCCACCCCAGGTCTCTTCTGATTTGTTTGATGTATATTTTCCTGGGGCCGTTGTTACCCTTTTAGCATTTTGTTCTCTCATTCATCTATTCTTCTCTGGACAAAATGACAAAATGGAAAAACAAACCTCAAAAGAACAAGAGGCAGTACCAACTGCCAGGGACCTAATCAACACGACTTAGTAAGTTACCAGAACTAGAGTTCAGAATGACAATTGTAAAGATACTAACTGGGCTTGCAAAAAAGCATAGAAGATACTAGAGAATCCCATTCTGGAAAAAGAAAAGAACTAAAATCCAACCAAGTGAAAATCAAAAAGGCTATTAAATGAGGTGCAATTAAAAATGGAGGCTCTAATGGCTACGATAAATGAGGCAGAAGAATTGGTGATACAGAAGACCAAAGGATGGAGAATAAAGAAGCTGAGAAAAAGAGAAATAAACAACTACTGGATCATGAGGGGAGAATTCCAGAGGTAAGTGATGCCATAAGATAAAATAATATTAGAATAATTGAGATCCCAAAAGAAGAAGAAAGAGAGGGACAGAAGGTATATTGGAGCAAATTATAGCTGAGAACTTCCCTAATTTGGGGAAAGAAACAGGCATCAAACTCCAGAAGGCACAGAGAACCCCTCTAAAATCAATAAAAAGAGGACAACACCCCATCATCTAACAGTAAAACTTACAAGTCTCAGAGAAAAAGAAAATCCTGAAAGCAGCTCGGGACAAGAGATCTATAGAAACATTAGATTGGCAACAGACATATCCAGAGACCTGGCTGGCCAGAAAGGACTGGCATGAAATATTCAGAGCACTAAATTAAGAAAAAAAATGTACCTAAGAATACTATATCCAGGGGCGCCTGGGTGGCTCAGTGGGTTAAGCCTCTGCCTTCAGTTCAGGTCATGATCCCAGGATCCTGGGATCGAGCCCCGCATCGGGCTCTTTGCTCAGCAGGGAGCCTACTTCCTCCTCTCTCTCTCTCTGCCCGCCTCTCTGCCTACTTGTAAACTCTGTCAAATAAAAAAATAAATAAAATAAAAATCTTTAAAAAAAAAAAAAAAAGATTACTATATCCAGCTAGGTTGTTACTGAAAATAGAAGGAGAGAATAAAAAGCTTCCAGAACAAACAAAAACTAAAAGAATTTGTGAACACCAAACCACCCTACAGGAAATATTGAAAGGGGTCCTCTAAGCAAAGTGAGAGCCTAAAAGTAACATAGACCAGAAAGGAACAGAAACAATATACAGTAACAGTCACCTTATAGGCAATACAATGGCACTAAATTCGTATCTTTCAATAGTTACCCTGAATTAAATGGGCTAAATGCCCCAGTCAAAAGACAGAGGGTATCGGATTAGATTTAAAAAAAAAAAAAAAAGACCCACTGATATGCTGTCTGTAAGAGACTCATTTTAGACCCAAAGACACATCCAGATTTAAGGTGAGGGTATGGAAAATGATTTATTATGCTAATGGACACCAAAAGAAAGCTGGGGTGGCAATCCTTGTATCAGACAAATTAGATTTTAAACCAAAAACTGTAATAAGAGATGAGTAAAGACTATATAGTACTTGAAGGGCCTATCCAACAAGAAGATCTAACAATTTTAAATATCTATGCCCCTAACATGGGAGCAGCCAGTTATATAAGCCAATTAACAGCAAAATCAAAGAAACACATCAACAATAATACAGTAATAGTAGGGGACTTTAACATGCCCTCACTGAAATGGACAGACCATCTAAGCAAAAGATCAACAAGGAAGAAAAGGCTTTAAATGACACATTGGACCAGAAGAACATCACAGATATACTCAGAACATTCCATCCCAAAGCAACAGAATACACCTTCTTCTCTGGTGCACACAGAATATTCTCCAGAATAGATCATATCCTGGGTCACAAATCAGGTCTCAACCAGTACCAAAAGATTAGGATCATTTCCTGCACATTTTCAGACCACAATGCTTCAAAATAGCCAAGGAAAAAGTGAAGAGGATGCCTGGGGTCTTTCATAACTCACTACATAGCAACAAACAAAATATACTGACTCTTAACTAGTAAGAACTGCCCTTT